CGCGCTTTGAAGAATTTATTCATAATGCTGAGTGCGTAACGCAAATTATTTATGCAAGGCGATTATCCCGCGCAACAAAATTGTTCCAAACTGAATTGAGGCTAGCTAATTTGTCGTATTAATTTTGTACGACTCAAAATTTTACACTTCGATATTGTCCAAAAAATATAGGTTTTCAATATTTTTTTCCACAAAAACTATTCGATATAAGCTTTGCCCTGATATACGAGTTGTCTTGTTTGTTACTAGGAGCAAAATTTATCACTTTGTACATAATAGTGCGTGTGGGGGATAATTTTTACAAAAAAAATCTCAAATTTACACAAAAAAAATGGTTTTGCGTATTGCATTTAATTTTTCTAATGTTGATACTACTCCATAGACCAGCAGTCTTGTTAAAAAATTAAACTACTGACAACAATGAACTTTGAATTTCCAATGACTAAAATAAACAATTGGAACTAACTTCGTAAACCGCGATAGTAACGAAATATTTTTATCAAATAATAAGTGTTAAACACGTCAAGAAATCTTTTTGAAACACGTTTTGAGGCACTGTGTTTGGTCCTTTTTGATGCTTTGTCATTTGCGAAGTATATCGTTGTGTAGCTTACATAGCGCCTAGAAGGATGGTTTTCAAGAAACTATCTCAAACACTTTTTTTACATTCACCAATTTTTGTAGCAAACACTAATCCATTGACTTTGAAAAGCAGTTGACACATTCAGGTCTTTGCCTTAATACAACAGTCTTGTTTTTCTACTTTTAAAAAAATTTACGGAACCTTTGTGCTCATAGTAATTTTTTTTCTTCAGAGCAATTTCGACTTTTTAACTAGTCATTTTTGACGGATTTTTTTATTTCTTCCAAAAAGGTTTGTTACCCAGGACGCAAATTTTTTATAAAAAAGTTTCACCCTTGGTATTTTTTTTGCAGAGTTATGAGTTTTAGAGATTGCCAATTTGCTCTGTTTGGGGCTATAAACTTCGGCCTATATATTTAGCTTTATTAATGCGCAAGCAAATATTTAATCATACTGTGAAATAGTTTCAAGTTAAATTGAAGATTGCGATTTGGGCCATTCAATACTCTGCTTTTTACGAAATATATTACTTTGCAGTTTACATAGCGGGTTATGGGGTGATTTTTTCGAAATTGTTTCGTTTTATTTAGAGTCATTTTTTTTAATGAACACTACCTCATAGACCTACAAAGCACTCGTAACATTCTTGGCTGCGCTCTGATCCAATTATCATAACAATTTTCATGACGGAATTTTTGGTTATACCATTCAAAAGGTATTGTTGTCCTCAGCTTAAATTTGATAAGGTATTTAACCTGTGATCTTTTTTCGTAAGGCTATGGGGGTTTAAAGATTGCTATTTTGGCTAATTTGGGACATTTAAAGCGCGATATATTTCGCGCTATTAATGCGTAAACGATATTTAATCCGTCTTAGAAATCGATCCAAATTGGTTCAAGGAAGCTTATATGCCATAATTGCTTTGCTAATAGGCGCAAAATCTATCACTTTGTACTTAATATGACGTGCGGGGGATGTTTTTACATAAAATCTCAAATTTTTTTTAAAATTTTTTTTAAATTTTTTTTTATTGCTTTGAAATTTTCATCTTATTAATGCTCTATAGACCTTAAAAGGCAGTCGAAACTTTCAGGGCTTCGCCCTGATACGAGCAGTCTTGTTCTTTTTCTATTGGTTTTTCTGAACAACCAACTCATTTAATGTTGTTCCGACTAATGAAATTGGGGAGGAACTTTTTTTCGTGTCTGTTTTAGTTTTTGTTCCGACTTTCGATACGAAAGTAACGGAATATTTGTGCTCGGGGTGGGTTGTTTATTCTTCAGACAAATTGCGCCATTTTTGACGCAATTGTTTTATATCATTCGAAAGCTATTGTTGTCCTGAGCTTGAATTTAAAAAGATTTTTCACCTGTGATCATTTTTCGTAAAGTTATGGGGGTTTAAAGATTGCCATTTTGGCCAATTTGGGACAATTAACGCGCGATAAGTTTCGCGCTATTAACGCGTAAGAGAGATTTAATCCATCTTAGAAATCGTTTTACTTTGGTTGAAGGAAGCTTATTTGCAATAATTGCGAAGAAAACGGAATTTTTATGCTCGGAGTCCTTTTTTTTATTCAGTCAATTTTTACGGTCGAAATGATAGTTTTAAAAAACAATTTTTTAATACTCATTGAAGATATTGACTTCATGAGTTCAAATGTAAAAAGATATTTCACCTCCGATTATTTTTTGTAAAGTTCTAGGGGTTTGAAAATTGTCAAATTTTCTTTGTTCTGGACTTAATTATGCGCGCTTTGAAGAATTTATTCATAATGCTGAGTGCGTAACGCAAATTATTTATGCAAGGCGATTATCCCGCGCAACAAAATTGTTCCAAACTGAATTGAGGCTAGCTAATTTGTCGTATTAATTTTGTACGACTCAAAATTTTACACTTCGATATTGTCCAAAAAATATAGGTTTTCAATATTTTTTTCCACAAAAACTATTCGATATAAGCTTTGCCCTGATATACGAGTTGTCTTGTTTGTTACTAGGAGCAAAATTTATCACTTTGTACATAATAGTGCGTGTGGGGGATAATTTTTACAAAAAAAATCTCAAATTTACACAAAAAAAATGGTTTTGCGTATTGCATTTAATTTTTCTAATGTTGATACTACTCCATAGACCAGCAGTCTTGTTAAAAAATTAAACTACTGACAACAATGAACTTTGAATTTCCAATGACTAAAATAAACAATTGGAACTAACTTCGTAAACCGCGATAGTAACGAAATATTTTTATCAAATAATAAGTGTTAAACACGTCAAGAAATCTCCAACAGCTCAAGAAATGAAAAATAAATGGCTTACTAAAATACAAATGAAACAAGATTGCTCGTATCAGGGCGAAGCCCTGAACGTTTCGACTGCCTTTTAATGTCTATGAAACAGTAATAACATGAAAAAATTAAATGTAATAAAACGATTTTTTTTAACATTAGATTTTTTGTGAAATTCAGCGCTTCATACGGCATATAAAGTACAAAGTGAGAGATTTTGCTTCAACTAACAAATCAACTGTCGCAAATAAGCTTTCTTCAACCAATTTGGAACGATTTCTAAGAAGACGGAATAAATCTCCGCTTACGCGTTGATAGCGAAATAAATCGCGCGTTCATTGTGCCAAATTGGCCGAAATTGCATTCTTTAAACCCTCATATTTTTAAGAAAATTAATCACATATAAAACATTATTTCAAATTTAAGCTCAGGGCAACAATAAATTTCGGAACAATGCGAGGTTCGAATAATTTACTGAAAACTTTTCATCTCGTATTTTGAACTTTTTAAGTAGCGCATTCAAAAGGCTGGTGTAGTCTGACATTATTTGATAGTTTTTTGTCACAAATTGTGATTTGATTTGTTGTAGGAGGCGTTACTAACTTTACACTTTTTGTGCGAGGATTTTTGGCTGTGGCTAAATTTTAAAACACGGCGCCGGGGCAGTACAACAGTGCCGAAGTACAACAGTGCCGAAAATGAAAAAGAGTTCAACAGTGCCGAAAATTGATGATTTTAGGCACTGTTGAACAATAAATTTCGGCACTGTTGTGATGCCCTTAGAGGGGCGTTGAACAGTGCCGAAGTGCAAGAGTGCCGAAACTAAAATTATTCTTCAACAGTGCCGAAAATTATCAATTTTCGTCACTGTTGAACACTTTTTCATTTTCGGCACTGTTGCACTTCGGCACTGTTGAACGCCCCCGCGGCGCCACCCATGTTTAAATACAAGCAGCTGCATTAATCACCGTATCACCGCTCTTTTGTGTGAGGAATAAGAAGTTGATCTGATTAATTAGTAATTCTGACCTTTAATTATGCAATCCCTTCTGACGTCACAAAATACTGCATGAAAGATATCAAAAAGCCAAGTTCGAATTCAAGTTAAACTGGATATCAATCAAAACTGGTTGTATAGCAACTTAATGGTTGAAACATTAACAATCTAATCTGTTCAGTATTTTTCGCGAAAAAATTATGTTCCCATTAAAATTTCAAAGCCGGATTTTTGACGGAGCAGAGGTTGTTTGAAATATTTAATGATATATATTTTTTAATTAGATGAAAGAACTTTTTTGAAACTGGCATGGCTATTTATTGAACCTGTCTCGCTATTTTTACAGACAGACATTTTAAAGAGCAAAGGGGCCTATTATTGTAATCCATCGCCAATCTGACTATTGGATCAAGTCTACCGTTACATGTATCATGCGAAATGGCTGGATCCGATGCGCCGAAAAAAATTGTTTATACAACCAATTATATATGTCTTACTGAAGATATTTTCACTCGTCAACTTCCTTGTAGGTTTTTAACCGTTGCAGTTTTTGCAGTTGCTCTAGAAGTAAGCGGTAATTTGAGGAGAGATAAAAAAAATTTTTGGATATCAAATAACGGTCGTCTCTGTCAGTACCACAGTAATCGTACAGAGAAGTTGTTTTTTCTTTGACTTGACCAATGAAACGAACGAACAATTTCTTCTCAAATTGTTCCCTGCATCCAATTAGTGCTGAAGTTTTCTTATATAGTTGATGAAACTATTTAAGTCATCAAAATGTAAGCCCTAGCTGTATTTTAGTAGTTGCAGAAAAACGAGGCTCTTTTCAACTTTCCTCTCCCACAGTTCAATTTTTTTTCATAGTTGTCTTACATGATATTTTGGCGAAATGCGCGGAATTGAGACACAAAGCAAGGAGAATAAATTGTTCACACTAATTTCATTACATTATGACAAAGTAAATTTTTTTTCTTCAAAAACTCAAATGTCGGAGGAGGAGTCGAAAAGAGCCAAAAACTACAATAAGATGAAGAAAATACTCGTTTCATCGGCTCGAAAGCAAAAGCTGCAGATTTTTTGACCCATAAATGTTGCTCAAACTTATGATTATAATATTTTTTTTTCTATTTCAGCATGGACCGGCGAAGTTGATTCAGATGATTTACATAGACAACATGAAGCTCAAATTGAACTCAAGCTCAGTGGCTAATCTCTCTGAAAACATGGCAGCGACCTCGGTAAACACGTACTCATTTACACACAAACTCGGCAACTAAACTTATTTGATCTTTTTTTTTCATACATAATCTCTTCTTTGTTAACAGGAGTTTTTTAATCTCAAAAACTTCAATTCAATTTTGGTAGAGTATTATCAGTTAATAATTAGAATAAATTCTACTAAATGTTTTTATGTATACCCAAGTTTTGGATATGTAAAGGATAAACGGTTGTTTTCAAAGCACCTAAGAACATTCAATAATAACAGGGATCTTTTAAATCTGCAACATAAGTGTTAAGTTCTATAACTGTTTCATCATTCCAGAGCTATTTCGGAAAATCATTGTAATAATACAAAAACAGAAGAAAAAAAAATTTAAACCTCAGCCAGAATTACTGAATTATTAATTACTAAAGCAGCACTGATTTTCATTGCTGGAGCATTTCGGGCAAACAAAAGCGCTTCCTCATTGCCTCAAGTTAAATTCATTTCCAAAAGAATAAATTTCTCTGTGAATACCAAAATTTTGGATATTTAAACGGTTAAAATTTTCGAAATATAATTGTAGCTGCTCGTACAAAATGTTTGGATTTTTTAGCCTCAAAATTAAGTGTTTCCTTATTGCTGCAGCATTATTTAAAAAGAATTAATTATGTCCAAAACTATCAATTCTTTTTTTGTGAACTCCCAATTTTCCGAAAGGGTTATGATTTTTTAAAACTAATTAATTGGAGGCGTTCAGTACAAAGAGGAATTTTTCAAACTTCAAATTTAATTTGTTTATTAATAACATCTTTACTATAACACTCGATCGTTATTTTGTAATTATCCAATTTTCCGATTTTAAAAAGATTTTATGATTTTTCTTCAAAATATTTCAATTTTAAAAATACGATTGATTTTCAAACAGGAATTTTTTTAACTTCAAATTTAGTTTGTTAAAATCAATATCCTTCCTATAACAATCGATCGTTAATTTTGTAATTATCCACTTTTCCGATTTTAAAAAGATTTTATGATTTTTCATCTAAGTCTTTCAATTTTGAAAATACAATTGATTTTTTCCAAAAAGGTGCCATTAGAGGTATATTGTGTTCCAGGATCTGAGGAATATCTTTTTCGCGTGGATCTGGGTCATCTGCTATGGACTCGTCTTCTGCATCATGAGCACTTCTTCAGTCGTCGTGAGTTGAAATTTTAGCTCATCAGACACATTTAATTGTTTTGATGTAATCAGTTTTTTAAGTTATCTTCTACAACCAAATCTGTTTGAAAAAATTCAATTCACATACATGCAAAATTTCATAACAACTTTAACTATATCCCCCCCCCCCTCGGGTACCTAGTAACGAATATCCCCTATAAAGAAATAAATCAATGGTTAAGCATATCAGAATTTTATACCTAGTAGCGGATCTTCCCCTTCTGCCAAAGGTGTATATAGTGAAAACGATCCCAATTGGACAACCAGCTCGAAAACTTTTATTTGTTACTAATTCACAATGAGGTCAAATAGAAAAAAGCTCAGATTCTTTTTCTTTTGCTCCCAAACATCCTCCTTGTTTTCCAAGTTTCATTGAACATTTTTTCTTGACTCAATTGTGGACCACAAGATGGCTATCTCTGGTAGCAACTTTTTGTATCGAAAAATTATGTCGAAAATTAAAGTTGGTTTTGTGAATTTCATATCAAAACTTTTCTTCGCTCTAGACTAGGCAGAAAAATCCTTGGTTTCTTTTGCCCAAATGATGATGCTTCTCTAGTATATTTTTAAAATATTTATAGCTAAAATCAAATCATCGGTGTAGAAAACGAATTTCTTAATGTATCAACTGTTCATATTTGAGGATTCAGTCTCAGAATTTTAATTATTTGGGCAAATACGTGTCTTTATCACTTATGGGAAAGTTTCGTCTTTACTTCCTCATTTTGGAAGGAAGTAAACCAGTTGGAAAAATCACCTCATTTCCACTCGAGTGCGGCTCCACATCCGTATACCCGCCTTCTATTCTCGCTATTAGAAAAAAACAGTGACATTCAATACTAGTTATGATTACGTCTCAAATGGCATAATTCCCAAATGGCATAAATTTCATGCAACAGTTGCATTAAAAAAATCGAAAAACTTTTTCGTGAACCATGTGAAAAAATAAGTCAAACTGTCAATTCAAATATTGATTGACATTTTATCTTGAAAAAATTGTAGAAACTTTTATCAAAAGCGAAAAGCATAATTGCGGCTTTTGATAAGTTTCTTGTGGCCAATTTTTACGACAAAATTGTCGCTTAGCGTTTGCTTGGAAGAAATTGATTCCATGTCTTGACAAAACGTTAGACTTAGAAATTGATAGAAAACGATTGAATTACAACGAAAACTTGAAATTTATGCCATTTTATCACTGATTCATATACCTTAAAAGGCAGACAGAACATTCAGGGATTCGCACTGATACGAGCAGTCTTGTCTGTATTTGGATTAAATGCGCTTCAAATATCCTATCATTGTGGTGCAGTGTATGTAGAGTTGCAGATTTTTGCAAACTAATTGCTAATTCGAAAAATTTGATGGTATTTCACGCCGTTTGAATTACCTTCCTTACATGTATTTGGAGCTAATCGTATTGTGAGATTCAACTTGATTGTTTAATTTGATAAAATCGGGCACTTGGTTTGATCAATTCATCGGGCACTTAAAAATTTTACTCAAGTTAGACTAAAAACCGTGGTAATGATGTATCATTTCTTTTTGAATGGCTCGAGACTAAATCAAGGGATATACAAGACTGCTCTATTTCACTATGAAACTGACATAAACAATTTCATGAATATTCAAAATTAATTACTGGATGTGTACCAGTTGCTACAAGGTGGTTTCAGGGGGCACTTGAAACTTCTTAAAGTTTTCAACAAAATCCGTTTATTTTTGATTGGCTCAACTGGTGTCTGCTCAAAAATTGTCGGCCTTCGTAATTGTCGGCCTCGTTATTTTTTGTTCCTTCGTTCATTTGAATTTTAAATGTCTTGCTTGGCTTGCTTGCCTAGAATTTCTGTTTGATAAAATCAGGTAGTATGAAAGTTTAAGTGATAAGGTTTATTTTTTTGAGACGCTTCGGAAATTTTTATCACATTTTGCAAAAAAAGTAGTTTCGTTTCTCAAGCCTTTCAATGATTTTCCATAAAAAGGCTGCCTACATTCTTTCGTGCAAAATTGTTTGGTCTTTTTTTGCTTTACTCCTTCGTCTTTCGTCTACTGCCTTCGAAAAAATATGTGGGGGGAATATTTGACCAATAATTTTGATTTTTTTTGTTTTCTCAAAATTAACCTACGAAATCTGAGATTTTTTGTTTTAAAAAAAAGAACGGATTTCAAAAAGCTTATTATGGATGAACTTCTTATGCATAAGTGTCTACGATTCTCGGAAATGTCAAATTTATGATTTGTTGACCGGTTTTTGGACTGTTCTCGGTATCCTGCCAAATCTGATATCATAGGTTTAATCGACACAACAGGTTGTTGGAATCTTACGATTATAATTTGCTACGCCGAATTTTTTCTTAGAAAAAACTTATGGCCTTCAACTAAATTAAGGTTTTAAAACTTTGACCGTTTCTTCGGAATTTTTTTTTACTCTACTCGAAAGTTACCGTTCCATTTCTCAGGTTAAGTTTTTAATCGAGAAACGTGACTTTGGGAATCCTCTACTTTACCGGCCGCAACTTGCTTTTAGCAGAAAAAAGTTACGGATTTTGGAAAGTTATGGTTTTTAACGTTGGCCGTTTTTTATAAACTTATTGAATTTACTTTAAATCTACCCATTCAAAACTGAGATGAAAATTTCAATCGAAAGAAGCGGTTGAGCAACTTTTTCCGGCGGAAGTGGCTACTTGTTGTGACGAAATGGTCTGAAATTGTTTTGATATTTAAGAGTTTGACTTTATTCTCAAATTAAGTCTAAACTATTCGATCAAGTTCATTTCACAAAAAATTTTTTGAGGCAGGGGCGGATCTAGGATTTTCTCGAGGGAGGGGGGGGGGGGCGGATTTAAAAAAAATTTTTAGGTCGACCAAATTAATTTTCTGAGCTCTCCCAAAGCACTACAAAGGCCCTGTTTTGACCAAAAATTTTACCAAAAAGTCGCGTTTTTTCGGCGCGCGCTCCCCTTCAAAATTAGTATATATTGGCGCCGAAAAATGGATATCTCAAAATAGTACTAAGGGGGGACCCTTTGGGTCGGCAGGGGGTCGAATCCCTGAGAGAGGAAGGCCTCAAGATAACAATGTCTTTCAGATGAACTTCCGTCAAAAATTTAAATAGTAGAAAAGTGACTGAATAAAAAAACCATCCCAGGCATAAATATTCCGCAAAAAAATTGATACTCGTTGCATTCAGCTTCGGACTTATTGGAGGCTGACATGATGATTGAATCAATCAATTTAATATAATTGGATTTTTGAAATTAAAATTCAGCTTCATTCAAATTGACGCCTCTTGTCTTTGAACGAAACTCCCTCGAGCCACCCAAAGGCTATTTTTAAACAGAAAATATTATACAAGGTCCGAAAAATTTTATACGCTCTACGCTCTCTGATCTATTATTGTAAAGAAAAGTCCAGCTTGGCCTATTTATAGGCCATGCCATGGGTAGTTAAGGCTGAAAGCGTGAAAAGAAAAATCCGTAGGAAGACTTTTTTTCCTTCTTGCTCAAAAATAGAAACAAGTTCCAACTGGAAAAGTCTCCAGCTGATTGAAGCGTAATAATTAGTTTAATTAGTATGGTGAAATCGGGCAGTTTCTTTCATTGTGAACTCTGTAGTTTTCCCCATGGGACTGCGATTCAATAGTTCGTTATTTCCTTTCTCTTTTTAAAATCATGACAGTTGACAAGTCTTATTGCTTATTGCTGAGAGAAGATTTTTTTTGTAAAATTCAAATTCAATGAGAATTTACATATAGTTACCATATTTCAGGTCAAAATCACAAAGTTAATGTTTCTTGCTAAGCGGCTCGCATGCATTTAGGCTGGTCTCTCTACAAGAATGTTCGTATATCAGGGCAAAATCCTGCATGTTCCGACTGCCCCTGAATCAGCATCGAATTTTGTTGGAGAAGCAAGTATCGAGAACTATAAACTTTGAAACATATAAAACATCAGGTGTAAAATTTTCAGTAGTACGAAATTTATATGACCGATTAGCTCGACTCATATTTGGAACGATTTTGTTACGCAAAGTAATTCACCGCGCATAAATAATTTGCGTTTGGTTTTCATCTTTTTTAAATAAAATCTTCCTAGCGCGCATAAATTAGTCCAGAGCATGGCCAAATGGGCAATTTTAAACCCCAGAACTTCACTAAAAATAATGAATGTAAAATATCTTACGTTTGAGCTCCGAGAGTGTGTATCATCAAAATGGTATAAAGATATTGGTAAGAACTATGGTTTCGATGGCCAACAATGGTTTCGATCGCCAACTTTTTAATAAAATCTTCCTTGCGCGCATAAATTAGTCCGGAGCATGGCCAAATGGGCAATTTTAAACCCCAGAACTTCACTAAAAGTATTGAATGTAAAATATCTTTCGTTTGAACTCCGAGAGTGGGTATCTTCAAAATGGTATAAAAGATATTGGTAAGAACTATGGTTTCGATCGCCAACAACAATTGACAGCGTAAAAATCACCCCAAGCATAAAATTTCCGCATTCCTTTGAAAGCCGCAACAATAATTGTTGACGGCTCAACTGTTGATTTCTTTCAAATTTCATTATTTAAAATGTTTGTTAAATGGAAAGCTCAAAAAGTAAAACAGAAAAAGACCAAAAACCAATTGATAATTCAAGCTTCAGTGTCATTTAAAAAAACTCCTTAAAATCTGTTTTCAAGTTGGGAGAGCGTTAAATTAAACAATTAAATTAAAATCCAGTACTGGTGCCAAAGTAACCGTTACAAGACTGCTCCTATCAGGGCAAAGCCTTGAATGGTCCGATGTTCCTTTAACTGATCTTGAGTAGTTTTTGGTAAATGGTATATTGACAGCCTACGAACGTTAAGCTGATGAAATCAAAATTTAAGTGTTCAAATCGAAGTCAGTCATATATGAACTATTAAGACCAACAAGACTGCTCGTGTATCACGGCGAACCCTGAAGTTTCCGACTGCACTTTAAGGCCAATAAAAAATTGGTTGAATAGTTGACAAAATAATAGAAAAAATATAAATTTATTTCATTTTATCCCTCACATGCTATTTAAGATACAAATGGCGTGTTTCGCGTCTAGTATTAATCTAGAAGAACTAAATATCTGACCTCAAATCAATTTGGAACGCATTAATTTGCCGCTGACAAGTGTTATAAGAACACATTACAAGAGCAAATTAATGAGCAATTTTCAAATCCCTGTATCTTAACGAAAAATTATCGTAGGTATTTTTTTTAAATTGAGCTCTTGACAACAATATCTTTCAGATGGTTTAAATAAATTCCGTCAAAAATGCTAAATTAAGAAAATGAGTAGATAAAAAACCACCTCGAGAATAAATTTCCGCTCTTTTTTCAAAAATCGAAACGGTGGCGTTCAGCAGTGCCAAAGTACAACAGTGCCGAAAAAGGCAAAAAAAAATTTCAGAATTATTTAAACGCATTTTCTTAAGAGCTGGAAAATACTGACGCTAATTAACAAAGAAAATCACTCCAACTTTGGCGCCAAAATGTCTGCAATTACAAATTAAACATTTTTTTCGCGCCAAAACGTCCAAATTTCTAATTTTGTTACTTAAAATCTTAAAGTTCCCCTTAAGATTATAAACGATCGCCGTTTAATTTTTGATTGCCGCACTTAAAATGTTGAAGTTTGTTCAAATTTTTGGCACCGTTGAACGAAGATTTTATTTTCCGCGCTGTTGAACTTTTTTTTGACACTGTTGAACTATTTTTTTGGCACTGTTGTACTTCGGCAATGTTGTACTGCCCCGTCAGATCAATTAGCTTGTCTCAGATCAAATTGGAATGATTTTGTAATGCATCTATAACAATTTGATAATTCGCCACGCATAAATATTTTGTGTTAAACTTTCGGTATTAAAGAATAAAATGAGCTAGCTTAGTTTCAGGGTTAGCTTATAGTCAGGTTGTTATTCTGTGTGCACGCGTCCGGTGGGATCGAGGGAAGATTTAGGGATCGATATCCCGAAGTGAGCAAATGTTCTTTTGGCAATTTCTGAATGAAAAAATCAACGCAAGCATTTATTTTCCTGTTTTTTTTCGAAAATCTGAACAAAAAGACTACTCGTACCAAGACCAAACCCTGATTTTTTGAATGTCTTTAGTATGTTATCGACTTGTTTTCGGTAAGAGAAAAATAAGATAAAACGAAAGAGTTGTTGGTTGAAAAATAAGGTAAAGCTATAATTAAATTACTTGTTTTTTGTTCACCCTCAGCCTATATTATGTTGTATGCGTTACAGTTTGAGTATTTTGGGGAGTTTTTGGGACCAAAATCAGCCTGCCGCAATTCAGTTTGAAATGATTTTGAGTATGAATTAATTGTTGGAACTTCAATAACTCGCATTTACGTTTTGAGCATCATGAATATACTCTTGAAAACACGCATATTCCGAGTTGGTAGAATTAGCACTTTTCTCACCCCTAGAGCATACAAAAAGCCATCGCAGTAAAATATATTTAAATATTTGAACTCAAGGAAATGATAATTTCATTTAGGTATGAAAATTTTATTTTTAAAACTATAATTTTAGTATCCGAAATTGATCTGATGTAAAATAACCACCCCGAAATAGTCCGTTAGTTTTTGCAAAAATCAGAATAGTTTTTTTTAAGTGTGATACAAAAATTATCCCATTTGTCGTCAAAAGTTGGAATGGTATAACTCATTCACGTTCTGCCAACCATTTGTTTTTGTGTCCAGTCAAGCTTGAAAAGTAGATGGACGCGATTTGTTTTTGCCCTAAAAAATTGATGACATAGCGTTATCATCTTTGTCCCGACCCCCTCCCTCAAGGGTGAGGTAGAAATATGACGCTGGTTGTTTTTTTTAAAAATCGTTTTTGTTTAGTTTGAAGAAAGTTTGAGTGGTAGTGTTTCAAAGTCCTTTCCGTTTTTCAGACCAAATTTGATGAGAACTTGCAATTATAATTTATTTCTACTACATTTTCTAATAGTTCAGCTCCTCGCTCTTACACCTTTTCACCGATGTCATTCGTCCTTTAACAAAAACAACAACTGAATATTTAGAAACAAAAAGATATACCTTAATTTTGAAATATTTTTCAATTTAAAAAAAATCTTCATTTATCGACCTAGTTCATTGTGATTGAAAAATTCTGTATTACTTGCGCAGCCACCGGCTATCATTGTCTACTGTTAAACTTCAATTTTTTATCCAGCTGTTGAGGCCGGCTGCGTCTGGCTCGGGCATTCCGGAGTTGATTGGGTACCTGAACGGGACAGTGGTGAGGCAGATCTTCAACATTCGCACCCTCATTGTCAAGTTCTTCTCCAATGTGTGTGCTGTCGGCAGTGGACTCCCAGTGGGGCCTGAGGGACCCATGATCCACATGGGGTATGGACACTGTTCACTAGTTTATTCATTTGTTATCAGAAACACGAATTTCATCGACCGTTTTGATGACACAATCAAATGTTTCAAACCAAATTATTAATATAACATAATATAACAAAAAATGTAATTGATCGCAAAAAAGTATGTGAGTACCAAAATAAAAGCTCGGAAAAAGACGTGAAGGTGAGTAAAACGGATAAGTAACCAATTTTAGTTGAAAATGATTGGATACAATTTGAAACAAGCACTCAAGAAGAGAGATAAAAATGAATATTCCATAAAAATCAATGAAAAAGAATTGACGCTTTTATATTTATCTTTTGAGTATTTGGTTTATTTCAAACATAACTTAGTATTGGGTTGGATAATCGGTGGAATGTATGCCTGGGAAGAAATGAATTTCATCGACCTATATGATGACACAATCAAATGTTTCAACTTTGCAGAAAATTTTTTCCTGTATTCGGTTTTTGTGGTCAGTTTTTTTTTTGATCAGCTGCAGTATAAGTTGAATTGGCCTATTTAAAAAAGCCTGGTCAATATAAGATCCAATTAAACATGTGAACAAAATAAGCCAAAAAATTGTTGGAAGTTTTGAATTTTTTTTGTCCTAATTTTGACTTAATGGCGAAAAGTCAGTGCTTGTTCTTGAGCAAACGAACTCTATTGCAGCACAATGGGTCATAGCTAGCCTTAATGAAAATTGTTTTGTGTGTCTGTTTCAGAAGCTGTGTGGGTGCTGGCATCTGCACGAAGTTCCCATTCTTCACCCGTTTTCGCAACCCGGAAGACAAGTGAGGAGACGCTTACTATTGAACTCAATAAAACTGTTTGTGACAATCATATGAAGCTTATCAAATCGAACATGTTTTCATTTAAATGTTAAATTAAATGATTAGTTGTTTGTTTTTAACACTGGTGTTTTCAGGCGAAACTTCATAACAGCGGGGGCTGCGGCAGGAGTATCTGCTGCCTTTGGCGCACCAGTTGGGGGTCTACTATTCGCCATGGAAGAAGTATCCTCTTTCTGGAACCTGAAGCTATCTTGGCAGGTAAGGAACAAATTTGACAATCATCGTCCGCTTAACAATCATCGATAGACGTTCTGTATTTACATACCAGAAAAAAAAACATCGTAGTTTTGTTCTTTTATTATGTTGTTAGGGTAATAACTTGAGATTATCACCTTAAGTAGACGATCGTTAGCTACTTTTCCATGAGTGTGAAATAAAAAGCTTCTTCACAAAAACAAGCGCTGGATTGATCGCCGCAAATATCTGATTGATGCCCGCCTTTAAGTAATTGTTTCTAGTGACAATTGTAAGTTTTTTTTTATAGTTCTACGGTACGTTAATACAAATAATTGGAGCTTAAGACCTTACCCTAAAGTTCAGATACCATTACCATGTCCATGAATGAGTAATTATTTTCCTGGTGGCCATATGTTTCTAAATTAACTTAACGCCTCTCCTTTTTTGTAGACGTTTTTCTGCTGTATGGTGTCTACATTCACAGTGGACCTGTTCAACTCCGCATTCGACGGATTCTCATATCGGGGCGACTTCGGCCTCTTCAAACCCGAGAAATACATCCTCTTCCAGGTATATACATTGTCACAAGCAATCATGGCATATAGACAATATTATTCATTTTTTTTTTATTTTCCATGATTGCTTGGAGCTTTTTTTTCCAACGAAAAACTTACAGCAGATTTCACCTTATGTTGTTCGCACTGTGTTCAAAATTTAACAGAAAAATCAACAGAATTTTTTTTTCAAATCAATAATCAAGAAATTAAGAACCTAAGAGCTAAATTTCGATGGAAAATCTGAAAATGTGACTTAAGCATAATTTTATTTGTTGGCATCTAATGGTGTAGGAACTTTTCCTTTTGCTATTGTTGTTCCGACCATTGAAAATGTGGAGGAACTTTGTATTCGTGTGCTTTAGCTTTTTCGTTTTCCATGCAAAATCAGGTACCATCAGTAGCGTGCCGAGGGGAAAGGGGCGACCGCCCCCCCCCCCCCCCCCGCTTAATTCAGGTCGCCAAATTTTCCAAAGGGTCTCCCTTTGGTATAACTTTACTACATCCAATTTTTGGCTGACCAACCTCAAAAATTTTCTAAAGGCGCCTTCGGTGCCAATATAACTAATTTTGAGGGGGCAGCGCGCGCCTAAAAAACCTCAATTTTTTGGTCAGAATTTTCCAAAAGTGCCTAAAAACGCTTTTTTTGGCCTGTTTTTTTTAAATTTTGCCTGTGGCGCAGAATATTTGGTCAAAATTGGGTCTTAATAGTGATTTAGGAGAGCTCAGAAGATCAATTTTGTCGACCTAAAAAAAAGGTCGACAAACTTTTCGATAGTTTTTCGAAAAAAAGCCCCCCCCCCCCCTAGAAAAATTTTTGCGCACGCCACTGGGTCAGGGGCGGATCTAGGATTTTCTCGAGGGGGGGGGGGGCGGATTTTCAAAAAAGTTTCGAAAATTTTGTCGACCTTTTTTTTAAGGTCGACGGAATTGATTTTTGAGCTCTCCCTAAGCATGATTTAGTCCCTTTTTTGGCAAAATTTTCTGCGCCGCAGGCAAAAATTTGAAAAAACAGTCCAAAAAAAGGCGTTTTTAGGCACTTTTTGGAAAATTTTGACCAAAAAATTGCGTTTTCTCTGCGCGCGCTCAAAAATAGAATATATTGGCGCCTTTAGAAAAATTTTAGGGTCGGTTGGCCAAAAATGGATTTCTTAAAAAGTACAAAAGGGGGGACCCTTTGGGTCGGCAGGGGGTCGAATCCCAGAGGGAAGGGGGCGTCCGCCAACCCCCCCCCCCCCCCCCCCCTAAATCCGCCCCTGCACTGGGTACCATAAAAAATCATCGGAATGGGTCGAGTAAAATATCATTTTAAAGCCCTTTTAGTCGTGATTTGACCTTAAAAATTTTTCTAAAAATTGTCCCAGTATTGAGAAAAACTGGCTTCAAATTTTTTATTTTTAGTCTAAGTTCGAACGAATAAAGTGAGCGAGCTGGCTTACAATGGCTTATTTATGCTTAATTTAAGCCACGATAACTTAGTGTTGCTCAAGTAAAGTTAGCTTTTGAAGTGTTCTTAGCGCGGTTCTGGTAATCAAATACTTCTAAAAATTCAAATCCTTTCTGCAAAAAAAAAATTTTTTTTTAAATTTTAGAAGATTTTTTTTGTTTTTGTAGCCATTTTTTTTTAACAAAAACTGTTGTTCAGTTGGCCTATTTTAGTACGACTGTCGAATATGCCTAAGTTATAGTTTTGTAATTAGATCCTTTTATTACACGACGCAGAAAAACGACACTAATTTGGAGAAAAAAAAACGTATTTTTTTCAAGACTATGGTCGGAACATTCTGTGCTACTTGCATAGTGACTGGTAATCGTTGTTTTGTTTTATATTTAACTAGATCAACAAGGCCATTGCTGTGAACATCCTGCTGTTCATCCCGACGGTGCTGCTTGGTCTGATAGGCGGACTGCTGGGGGCGGGATTTAACCTGCTCCACCTAAAAATCATTCGACTGCGGAGGAAGTTCATCTTCAGACAACAGTCCGAATGGGCCAAGAAGTTCCTCCGCATGGTAGAACCCTGCATCATACTAGTGAGTATGGCGATTGTGGTCAAATGAACTAAGTTAACCCCTCCCCCTAAAGCGACTTAGATTTTATAGCCAATAAAAGTTTTGGAAGTACAAAATCATGGTTATGAAGTCGTTGGAAGGAATCCTTGGAAGGTTTTTCTTGGTTCCCAAAACCGAGTAAAGTTTAAACTTTTTCTAATTGTGTTGTTTAGATAATAACTTGCACAGTGGCTGTTTTCTTGCCTCTCTTCTTCAGCTGTACAAAGCTCACATGCTATCAGAATCTAGAGGACGACGGGTGAGTCTCTAATCTAAGCAACCTTCTATAACCTGATTCAACTGAACTTGAATTGAATTAAGTTCACATTTTTGTTCACACCATTTGGCTTATTCAGCTGTGAAAGTGAAGTGGCATGATGAAAGATCACTGATCCTTGTTGATGTCATTTGTCCCACATTTTAAAGTCCCCGTTTGAATTGGATGCTCGGCTTGGTTGAAATAAACAATCATCTATACCTTTTACCAAAATGAATACTAAGGGGATGAAAACTAAGCTGCAACATAATGAGGCTCTTTTCAAATCCTACCAGGGCACGTGAGGCGCTAACTAGTCGGAAGCGACAATTGATCAGAAACGACCTCCCGGTTTTTTTAGACTAGCAAAAGCAAGTGTCTAATAACCGGGTACTATTCTTTTTTTTCCCGTCAACTTTTCTTACAAGAAGTTTAACTTGCTTCATTAATGAACCTTAACTGGATGTTACGCGGTTGCTTTTGAACTCTAAGGTCTGGGGGTTCTAAGGTCTGGGGGTACCTTGTTTTATTCAGTATGTTCAGTATGTTCAGTACGGCCTTCGAAAGAGACTGTGGAGGGAATATTCAACCCATATTGTTGGATTTTTTGTTTCTTCCAAAACAAACCTCCCAAAACTGAGATTTTGGGTTCATTGGATAGAACGGGTTGTGAGAAACTCCCCTGAAATGATGATCCTCGAAAGTCAAATTTTTGATTTTTGACTGATTCTTAAAACTTTTTGACTTTACTCAATAATTACTCTCCGAAATCTAAACTTTTGGGTTTAATCGAAATAACATTTGTAGTAAGCTTCCTTGTATAATCGACTACACCCAATGTTTTTATACAAAAATATATCGTCCTCAAAAAGTTAATTTTTCAATTGAATATATATAAAAATTCTGATAAACTAACTCACAAATCTCTCGGAAAAGTCAAATTTTTGATATATTAACCGTTTTTTGGATTTTTTTTTGATTTTTTCGTTTTCTGATTTTTTGATTATGATTAAGTATCCTGCCAATTCTGATATCAGAGGTTTGTTCTATACAACATTTTGTTGAAAACTGACCCGCATAAGCGGCCGCTCCCATTTTGTCCTTAGAAAAAACTTATGGTCTTCAAAATCTTTGAAAATTTGACATTTTTTTTGGAAACTACACATGTTGACTTTACTCGAAAACTACCCTGCCTTCTTTAGTTAAGAGTTTACTCGAAAAACCCAAACTTGGCAATCGTCTCTGCTAAAACGGCGTTGTCCTACTGTTTGCAGAAAAAATTCTGGATTTCGGAAACTCACGTTTTTGAACTTTTGACCGTTTTTCAAAACTTTTTTTAATTTTACTTGAAAATTACCCTAACGAATCCAAGACGAAGGGACGAAGGGTTCAATCGAAAGAACCGCTTGCGCATATTTTTCCTGTAGCAGCTGCGTTTCGTTATTTTTTATTTAAACAAAGGTCATGTCGTTGCAAAAATATACTTATTTTATTAGAAATAACAAAGGTTTTGGGCAAAGTCCAATTTTTGAAATCACTCATTTCATTCCGCATCAGTATAACAAAATCAAAAAGATCACACAGGTACTTCCATATTAAGCTGCGTCCCTAGTCTTTTGTCAAGACATACGAAATTTTGGTTTACTTAGTTTTTTGCAATATTTTTCATTTTGCTACCTATTTTTTTGTTTGTGTTGCATGTCAAACGATGCGAAGCTCTGCTTTGCATCTGTATTTGAAAATGCAACGATTCGCACGAAGCAAAAATTCGTGCCATGAGATATTTAATTTTTTTATTGGGTACGAGAGGATTGAAGGATAAAGGATAACAGATAAAGGATTGAAGGATAACAGCTTTCAAGATTCTTAGTGGCGCGCTACTCATCGTCGCTTTTTTTGTCAAATACTACCGCGTTTGTCGCGTTCGACCAGTTGTCGCTTTCGACGAAATGTTATTTGCCCCAGGGCATAATCTAAGGGATGAAAAATGAGCTACAACATTTTGAGACTCTTTTCCAGTTTTCCAACACCTCGAAAATTTTTTAAATAAAGTTGTCTAAAAGTTTTTAGACTGAAATCTGGATGTGAATATGTAGCTATTTGTTCTTTCTGACACGTTTTGTTTTGTTAGGCTTTCATAAATCGAATTTCAGAGAAAATCAAAAGAGGGATTGGAAAAGAGCCCAATTTGAAGTTAGACAAAAACGATCATCTTAGCTCTGATTATAATCCTGAGCTTTCTGAAAAATTAACCTAAGTTGCATTCGAAACTTTAGCAGGGGAACTCCTTCTATCATGAACACATCGTAAGTATTGCATAACTCGGCTCATAGTTACCTAACACAAACAGGAAGGAGTATAAACTTTAATGATCATCGACCAACCATTTTAGATGCGTTCTAGAAGTCCGGTTTTATGTGCGTTTTGTGCCATTTGTGTTTGCAAGGCAATTTACTATTAGGCTACCTCATTTTCGATAAGGAAAATAAACTGATTCAGGAATGCCTTTATTGGAGAAAAGAGCCAAACACAAATATTAGTCGAAATGAAAAAAAAATTGGTTTGAATAAAATCTGACAACCCAATATAAACAAGAAACTGAAAAAAAAAAATCTTTTTTTTTGGAATTTTCATCAACTTTTAGAAATCGAAAATTATCTCATAGATGTCAAAGGGCAGTCGGATAGGGGCAATTCTGGTTGGGTCAAAATATCACTTTTAAAAAACGAAGGGCATGTTTGCTAAAGTGTAACTAAGTGCTGCTGGCGCATATGGCATGAAATTGCAGCTCTTCTATAAATAAATTACCAGAAACATTTCTTTCATTAATACTGTTGTTTTATTCTTTTTTCAAAGCCTATATCTAAAATAAGTACAAATACAGTGTCTCCAAATAAATCGAATGAAATCACGGATTGTCGTGCTAGTTGTAAAGGTCACCATTCTAATTATGCTTTGAATTAAAGTTAAGTAAAACTAATTACATCAACGAAAGCAACATAAGCATTTTCAAGGAGATAAATTGGTTATCAAAAACATCAAATAACTCGTTGCGAAAAAGTTTTTTTTTTGAAAACATGAATAGTTTGACGTTAGCTGTTGAGCTCTTATATAGTTTTTATAGAAATCATAAAATAAATTAATTTTTCCTGATAAAGGTTTCACTTCTTAAAGTTAATAATTTTGTTTCATAGAAAAGCAGCTAACAAAAACTGTTTGACAGGACAAAATTTAGACATATTAGCGTTTGTATTATAAATTGCAAAAAATTTTATCAAGTAGAATTAATTATAATTAAAGAATACGTAGAACTAGTTGAAAAGTGCAATCTGCCAAATCAAACAAATTTTGCTTGCTGAAGTGAGTTTTCAGTTAAAATTGAGAAAAAGATGTCACAAAAAATAGCTTTTGCATGCTAAATTTTTCTGAAATAGCTTTTGCATTAGCTCGAACTGTCTGTTAACACTTTTTGCAACTAAAAGTGATAATTTAAAAAAGTTCGAGTAATTAAAACTATTTGAAATCGACAAAGCGAATAATTAAAAAAACGCATGCAAAACCATTTTTTCAGACAAAACTGATATCTTATGGTCGTCTAAAACGCCAAAATTGCACGCAATATTTTTCATTTTAAGCAACTTGCTCTTTTCAATTTCTTCTGCCTATCCAAACTTTTTGCATTATTTAATTTTTCAAAAACTCAATATTCATATGTTTTATTTCGTGGTGTGTTGCAGACCAAATTTGTGCCACCGAAGAATTCCGGAGGTAGTGAAAGACAGAGAGAAGGACGCCATCTGGCCGTGTAGCAAGGTGCGAGATGTGATCCACAAGGAGTCCGAGTTTGTAGTCCACACCAACAACACGATCAATGAAGGTAACTGCGTGTGAATAAACCAGCCAAAAGTTACCTCAATCGGGTCCAGGCTCCGCCATGCATGCAGTCCGCCCAAGATTGGATCGAAATCAGCGAAAAATCGCCCAAAAAAGACGGAAAAAAAGTTGTCTCATAAATTGCCATTAAATGAGCGGAAGTTTCCGAAATTACTGCTTTTTTGCTCCTTGACTACACTCGGGCCTAAGAAAAACATAGACATTGAGCGAAAAGAATTTTGAAAGTTCTGCTTTTTTTTATCCCTATGCATGAACTGTTTCCTGTTTTCTATACAAAATAGGCTCAAAACTTGCAAGGCATGGATATTTTTCCGTCTCAAGCAAACTCCACTCAAAAATATGAAGGAATGTGCGGATCTACTTTACAATCTCCCCAATATGGTCTTTGCTCAATAGATTTGACCTTTAAATAAAAAATTAGGTCTGCTGGTTTAATCTAGTGCCTGAAATTTTTGGTACGGATTTGCATTACCAGATAGCCAAAACAAAATTTGTTCCTAGATAGCCGAAAATTAAATGAAGCTTACAGACAAGGTTGGGCCTGGTTGTTGCTATTGTAGCTAAATCGATCTCTGCCTTGAATTGTTGATTGAAAAACAGAGATTGACAATGTTTGAGAGATACAAGCAGAGAGAGAGAGAGAGAGAGAGAGAGAGAGAGAGTGAGGGAACTTTCGTTTATATTGGCTTGGTTGATTGGGTCGTCTTGTATAATCTATCACTTCAGTCCCCCTCCCGCCTCCCCCCGGTTCTCTAGTGGAATAAGAAGAACTGATTGAAACTGCATGCCCGGTTCATGCGTGGAGTTTTTAATTAGTTGGGGGAACCGAGAAAATCTTCCGTGATGTGAGATTACGTGATAAGCTGCAGATGTTTGACAGCTTCTTCAGGGTTCTCCCACAAGCTTTCGATGGTATGGGAGGTAGGATGTAAATGGGAATTGAATAACTGTTTGGTGGTAAGTGGTCCTATGAAACAGCTTGCGCAGACTTAACAGCATTGTTGTTCAGTCTATGATGATAACAAGTTAAATAAGTTGAGTACCCTGATCGAAGTTGCGAGAGTAAGCATCTGGTTCTCAGGTCGATTTTGCTTTCATTTGCTAATTTTAGTGGTGGTTTTATAAGTATATTAGACATTTTTTAAAAAACTTATGTGCTTCTAATTTGTGAGATTTTTTTTAAATTTCCACAGATTTATTCATGGTTAGAGATGCTCTCCTGGTTTTCGGTGAGCAGGTGTTCAATGTCAGGCTTGAATTTATGTTCGAAGGAGTGTCTGGCGTTCCGATTGAATAATGTTAAGTTGATGGTGTGCTGTTGGCTTTATTATCTTGAGATCTGTTGGCTTTATTTTCTGTTAGCTTTGAGAGCTGTTATCTGTTGGCTTTATTATCTGTTAGCTTTGAGGGCATTTCACTGTAAGTTCGGACCGGAAAAATATTTGTTTCGTCGTATAAATCTGTGATATCAATCGTTTTTAGCACTTTGTTTTAATCTAGTTGAAGGCGCTGCAATTGATGCAACTTTGTTTCGTGATCCAAATTTTTCTATGAGCGTTTTTTGGACCGGCCAAAGTTTTCTTTTATCTGCAAATTTATAATGAACATTGTTTCTCTCGTGGAGTTTTTCGCAGGTCTTATTACAATGATCAAAAAGAATGATTTGGTTGGCTCCAATGTAACTCCAAGAAGTTTTCGGGTTCGAATTGCAAGTTACATTCGGTTCAAGGGAAAACAGTTCCAGGTTTAAAAGATAAATGTGGTGATTTGTCCTTTGACAGCGAATAATTTCTGATTTTAAGCCAGTTGTTGAAGCTGTTTAGATATCGAATCATAACTTCTGTTAAAATATTGATATTGGGACCAGGTGTTGTGAGTGTTATTTCATCTGCGTGTCTAGAGTATTTTTTGTTATCGTTAATGTAGCTACAGATGCAAAAATGTCATCAACATACATACATATGCAGACTATATAACCCTAACAACTACTTGCTTCAACATTCATAATTTAACAGAAGCAAGCATTAGGACATGTTCAGCCTAAGCCATGTTACAGCTTGGGGCTGCCCTGAACTCTAATTACCAAGCAGTCATTGTTCGTATCAAGTCAATTTTGCTTAATTTTTGATTTTTCGGAACGAATTTTTTTTGGCTATCCGGGTTTCGAAGAAAAATTAAATTATTAATTACAAACACGTAAAGAAAAAACAACAAACACAAATTTTCCTTTTTTTCCTACAATTTCTAGTTTTTATAACTTAAAGACATAGTGAGACCTTTTGGATATAATTTTCAATTCTAAAAACGTACAAAATCCAAAAAGTGTTCCTGATCGGTTTTGAACAAAAAGTTCAACGTAAAATATTTAGTTGGACTTTAAGTAGGATTTCAAAATAACTCGGCTCAACAGACATTAGTATGGAAGTTGTATGGTAACTCAGCCTCAGTTATCGCCATTAAAATAGAAGTTTGGAAAAAACATCGAAGAAAAAAATCTTTCATGAATTAAGAAGAAAATTCAAACTAAGGAGAGAGCAAATTTTGACCTTCGACGTTCGTATTAATCGAAACTCTAAGCGTTAAAAACTAAAGGAAAGCTTTGAAAACTTCATGAAGTCGAAGCATTTAAAATTTTTGAAAAACTTTGAAGATTCTTTTTATCTACTATAAACGATCATTCAAAATTTTAATCTTGTTTTTGTTCCGTATTTCGAAGAAATTGAGAAATATATAATCCAGATTTTTTATTTTCAGACCGATTTCACGAAAATTGGCAGTGTATTGGTATCAATTCGGAAGTTTTTGGGTTGCTTAGCGAGTTTGCTTGCTCTAGATCAAAATGCGGATTGCATCGCTGCTCGAATAATACTTTTTTTTTGTTTCAAAAGGCAAAATTTTCAAGCTAAGCAAGTTAAACGCCCTCATAATTGTTCCAAATTGAATTGAGGCCATCTATATTTGGTCATTTTAATTCTCCTCAATTGTTAGCTCTCTTATTTGTTATTGGTAGTGCAAATATAATAGTTTATTGGTTTTATTTTGTGCAAAAACTCTCCGAGACCCCCTAACAGGCAGTCAGAACAATCAGGGTGTTTCCCTCATATACGAGCCATCTTTTTTCAATTTTTGGCTCTTTTGAACAAAACAAAACTCGGCACCATGAACTAAAATGTTTTTTCTTGGCACTCTTATTCAATTTTTTGTTTCAGCTTTGTTGTAATTCGGCACTGTCGAATGAAATGTTCAGTATTCCAAGTTTTTTATTTTTACAACTCAGATGCAGTGATGTCCATTTAGAAAAACAGCTCACATTTGTTTAATTTTTTGTTTAAGTTTCAACCTGTTTAAAAGTGGAATTATGAGCCCAATCAATTTAAATGATTTTTTTTTATTTTAATTCAAATCGAATGATTTAAATTGAAACCAAAAAAAATCAATTGCTCGGGCGGTATTTGATCCGATGCCAAATATCACAGTTTATTATTGTCAATTATTTTCATTTTTTCACAGTTCCGAGGAAAAAGCAAACAATCTAAGTTTTCACGACAAAATATAAAGTTTTGCTGCAAACAAATTTGCCCAAAAAATCTTTCGATTTATTTTTTCAAAATTGAGGGAAGTATCCAAAAATTGCCGAAAAACTGCCAAAAAAACAGATTTAAGAAAAATTTAAATTGCTAAAGACAAATTTGAATTGTTTTAGAAAAATTTAAATTGATGCCAAAATTAAAAAAAAATTTATTTTTGAACAATTTCAATTTGTCCTTTTTTTAATGGACATCACTGCTCAGATTTCATCAAATTTAGAGTACTGGTGTATCGCGTATGGAAACTGTTAAATTATTCCATGAATTCTTTTTGCTTGCTTTTACTAAAATCGATTCAAATTGACGCCGTATTTTTTGGCGCCATTTAATTTCTATCACGCTCCTTTTTCAAGCAAAACCGTAGGAACGGTTCTGTAGCAGTAAGTAGACAACCGCGTATTCATACTCGTCAATAAGTAGACAAATACTATATTTACCAATTGGATTTGAGACAAGAAAGCAAAAGTTGGAAATAAATAATTAATAATTTTGTATTTCTAAAGTTCGCTTGCTCATCTAGATTCTGAATGGTAAATATAGTATTGGTTTACTTACTGACGAGTATGAATGCGTGGTTGTCTGCTCACAGGCCTCACTCCGTAAGAACTAACGGCGACACCATTTATGCAATTAGTGAAACTGGAAATTTAATGCTGCTTTTGTTCTGTCTGTTAAAGCGACATTCAATCCCAGATAATCTCATCCCAATTCTACCGGGGAGTTTTAACTTAAATGAAGGGCCCCAAGCTATGGTTTTATACACCCCCGTTCAATTTAACTCTCTGCCTATAAATGCTTTTGATCGCCACAATTTATCGCCATTTTGAAAGCCCGAAAACATATGCCTAAGGGGTTAAAAGAACACTTTTTGACCTGTAAAAAATTATGTACGATATTCATCAAAAATTGAACCGACTAACTTGTCCTGCAATTATTTGTATAAGTTAAGAGATCGTCGATAATGAAATGCATAATAATGTCTGAAATTCTAATGAAGAGTCTGTGTTGTTTCTTTTTTTTTCTCCCCCCCCCCATTCCCGCGAGTACTTAGGATACCTGTACGTAGTTAACACCTAGTAAACATCCTCCCCCCTCCCTCCAATACACCAAAATAAAATCCTCTACCCTAGAAAGGTTGTTAGCTTGGTCCGGTACTTGCGGCATGTTTATTAGTACTTGGAACTTAGTTTCATTAATATGAAATCATGCGCTGGATTCTTAAACGATTGTGCAATTGCGTACTTTTTAAGGTTCAAAAAGCAGAAGGTAGCAAGTTTTGGTATTTAGATACAAATTTTGAGAAGTATCAGTCCTGGTAACTTGCCTTTTACGAGGCAATGATTGTCTAACAAAAATCGGAAAAAAAATTCTTTTTAAATTTTTTTGATACGGATATAAGAAAAATTCAATCAATCAGTTGACTGCATGCTAATTATACGTTTTGTGAAATGTTTTAATTCTGTCTCACACAAATATTATAACGAAAATAACGAACTTTTAAATTTTGGCAAAAATTTTCAAAGATGATTTTTTTTTTAAATTTGAATTTTTAAATTACCAGACTTTGATCAAGACATACAAAAACATGTCATACAAAAGAAAGAGAAACTTTAAGCGTTTTTGAAAAAAGTTATGAAGAGAAAAGGAAAAAAAGCCAATATTATTATATCCAGGACTACGTTATACACACAAAAAATTAAATTTTGCATGCAAAATTTATTTTTTTCAAAAAATGTTTGTTTGAATACGAAAATCAATTTGCGGTTGAAAAAAAAAACAAAAAAAATTTTGGGGGCAAATTCAAAAAAACTTAAAAAAATTTTGTCGTCGCCATCAAAAAAATGCTAGTCATACAATTTCCATATATGGAAATTGTATGACTAGTGTTTTTTTTTCAGAAAACAAAATTTAAAAAAGTCAAAGTTTTCAGTTATAGCAGTCCAAACAACTCTTAAATGTTTTGCCAGCAGTTGAATCAATTGTTCAAAGCTTTTTTTTCACAATTTTTTTTAAATGCTCATCATACAATTTCCATATATGGAAATTGTATGATTAGCATTTTTTTCATACCATTTTTTTCCTTTTTTTTAAAAAGAAATTTTTTTTAAATGCTTATCATACAATTTCCATATATGGAAATTGTATGATTAGCATTTTTTTCATACCATTTTTTTCCTTTTTTTAAAAAAGAGATACCAATTTCGATACCAAAACAACTATAAAATACCTTTGAAATTCGATTAAATTCATTTTGCAAAAATGTATGAAACATTTGGGCATTTTTGTGATTTCCGACAAACTATAATATCACCGACCTAAAAAGAACGATAGGTCCAAAAATGGCCTTCCTGGCTTTATGTTGATTTGAAATATATCTGATAAAGGTAACAGTTATTTTAAAAACTATGCGGTATGAAAAAGAATAATTTCAACGTTTCATCGCTCTGTGAAAATATGATGTGTTAAATAACGTTAATTAAAAAACAAGTGTAGTGAACAAAAAATAAAATTGAATTTCAAAATAGTTCGCATAATTTTGTTCCGTAATTTCCGTTGCCCTCTAGTTTCAATTTTCTGTTTAGGGATTTAGTTCAGTTCATTGTGAAATAACACTGAGTGAGAAGAAACTATGACGTAAGATGGTTTTTTCGCCCGATTTTAGGGTTCTCAAGGAAAGCTCGTATTGGGTCTGGAGTTGAATCATTTTGAAACCTTACTACCCGTAACTCGAACACCGAAAAAATTATTCCAGTTTTGAGAAAAATTGATCTAAATTTTTATCTTTTTTCAGACTTGTTTCAATTGAGCTTAGCTATCTAATTCATTTCCTTCTGTCAGCCACATAAAAATATGTTTATTTCGAACATTTTTTCAACAATTTCTCTAGTTGAATTACTGCGGTTGGAACTTTTCTGCGCAACTTGCACAGAAACCGGCTAATTTTGTTTCTTAGGGCATAAATGTTCAAAAGATAACACCGAAGATTAATCACACTGTTTTCAATACAAAATATGAGTTTACAATCTTTTATGATCAAAGAAAAATGATTTAGCAATTTTCCAGAGGGCGAATAAGAAAGTAATTGTTCTGACAATTTGAAAAATGGGGAAGAACTTCGTTTTCGAGTGTGTTGTAGTTTTTCTTTTTTTTTGTTTTCCACGCAAAATCAGGTACCACAAAAAGTCATTAGAATGAGTTGAGTGATGTATCGTATTACAGCGCTTTCAGTGGTGATTCGAACAACCTTAAAAAATTTCGAAAAAAATATCTCAGCGTCAAGAAAAAGCCCTCGAATTTTTAATCCAATTTCGAGCAAAAAAAGCAAGGGAGCATGTATCTTTATGCTTATTTTAAGCCGTTATCAGTAGCTTAATTGTGCTCGATTTCAATTTTACTCAAGTAAAAATAGTTTTTAGAGTTTTATAACGCTAGTTTGGAAATCAAAAACTCCAAAAATTTAGAAAATCTTGGCAAAAAAAATAGAAAAATTGTTCTAAGTTTCTAGACTCTTTTTGTTTTTTTTTCCACTCAATTTTCTAGAGAAGTTGTTGCCTAACCCTAAGCTCTCTTTTTTCTTTTAGATCTTTTCATTACACTAGGCAGAAAAAAATGGCAAAATTTTGAAAAAAAATTTTTGGTTGCTTTTTAAATTATTGTCGGAACATTTTATGCTTGTTACACAGGAACCGGCTATCCTTATCCTTGATCACATTTGACATTGTTCTTGTCGAACAAAATTTTAAAAAGATAGTTCGAAAGCAACTCGTCTCGAAACAATTCCTGCAGCATTAGCGATTGGTTGCCCAAGTATCGCTTCAAAGAATTTGAAGCGCAGTTTCAGATGTTTTTGGCATCACCTTGTAGGTCAATTGTTGGAAATGCATTTTTATAAAACGCAAAAAATTAAGATGATTTTTTTTAACTTTTAAAAGGAGTTCGGTTTAAAAACACTGACAACTGGTTGCTGTGGATTCAGCACAGATTTTGGCGACCACGCTGATTAAAAAACAACTAAAGAATACAGAACAAATTTTCAATTTATTATGTAATTATGACACTTGGGTAGATCGTGATTGTTTTTTTTTTCATTTTCTCATGAAAAGTCGCAAAATTGATCACGTTCAATTTTAATTTTCGGTTTCATTTTTCAGTTTTTTTAAGTTCAATTCCGTCACAAAACAAAACAAATTACGCTCTCCTATTAAGAAAGCAGAAATGGTGCAAAAGTTTTGAATGGTTCTATTTCGAGTGTGAATTTCAATTTTTAGATTTCTAACATTTTGAAAAATAACCTTTTGATCAAGTTTTCTCTAAATGGTCTAAGTTTTTGAAATGTTTGTTGATCACAAATATTTTTTAAATTTAGAGAGCTAAAACATGTTATTTTAAAGTTGAAGTTTCAAAAAAGTCAATCAAGTTTTTTGTTTTGTTTACTGAATTTCCGATTATGATTTTTAAAAATTAGTTGAAAAACAGCCAGTGTGAGAGGTAATAATAGCTAAAACAGCGTTGAAGTTGTAGTAGTTAAATAAAGCTTAATACATTTTGTCTAGCGTAGTTTGAAAAAGAAATGGTTCAGACTAGTTTTTCTCAAAAATTGTTCTAAGTTTCTAGACTCTTTTTGTTTTTTTTTCCACTCAATTTTCTAGAGAAGTTGTTGCCTAACCCTAAGCTCTCTTTTTTCTTTTAGATCTTTTCATTACACCAGGCAGAAAAAAATGGCAAAATTTTGAAAAAAATTTTGGTTGCTTTTTAAATTATTGTCGGAACATTTTATGCTTGTTGCACAGGAACCGGCTATCCTTATCCTTGATCACATTTGACATTGTTCTTGTCGAACAAAATTTTAAAAAAAATAGTTCGAAAGCAACTCGTCTCGAAACGATTCCTGCAGCATTAGCGATTGGTTGCCCAAGTATCGCTTCAAAGAATTTGAAGCGCAGTTTCAGATGTTTTTGGCATCACCCTGTAGGCAATTGTTGGAAATGCATTTTTATAAAACGCAAAAAATTCAGATGATTTTTGTTTACTTTTAAATGGAGTTCGGTTTAAAAACACTGACAACTGGTTGCTGTGGATTCAGCACCGATTTTGCCGACCACACTGATTAAAAAAACTAAATCATACAGAACAAATTTTCAAATTATTAAGTAATTATGACATTTGGGTAGATCGTGATTGTTTTTTTTTTTCGTTTTCTCATGAAAAGTCGCAAAATTTGATCACGTTCAATTTTAATTTTTGGTTTCATTTTTCAGTTTTTTTAAGTTCAATTCCGTCACAAAACAAAACAAATTACGCTCTCCTATTAAGAAAGCAGAAATGGTGCAAAAGTTTTGAATGGTTTTATTTCGAGTGTGAATTTCAATTTTCAGATTTCTAACGTTTTTGAAAAATAACCTTTTGATCAAATTTTTTCTAAATGGTCTAATTTTTTGAAATGTTTGTCGATCACAAATATTTTTTAAATTTAGAGAGCTAAAACATGTTATTTTAAAGTTGAAGTTTCAAAAACGTCAATCAAGTTTTTTGTTTTGTTTACTGAATTTCCGATTATGATTTTTTAAAATTAGTTGAAAAACAGCCAGTGTGAGAGGTAATAATAGCTAAAACAGCGTTGAAGTTGTAGTAGTTAAATAAAGCTTAATACATTTTGTCTAGCGTAGTTTGAAAAAGAAATGGTTCAGACTAGTTTTTCTCAAAACTGAGACAACTTCATCCGAATTTCGAATTGATTTTTATTTCGAATCCGAATCACGACTGACATGACTTAATATGATATGAGGTTGTCTAAATCAGACATAAAACACCAACTAATCATCAATAGTTTTATGTGGTCACTTAAAGCGACACGGTCGAATCGGTTATGTTAAAGAGTACAATTTTGAAAATTGTAATAGAAAAATAACATGTTTTGTTGAAAATGCGGCGGTCTGAAAGTTCTGTGCTATATGTAAGTATATGTAAAGCAACCTGGGTTTTTTTGTTTAGTGGGTGTACTGTTGTATGGGACGGGTGAGCACGCGATAGGACACCTGTTCTCCCGGGACACTCACATGGACTTCAGCTACCTCAGTTTGATCAGTGTGCTCGTTATCTACTTCTTCCTGGCCGCATGGGCCGCCGGCTCACACATCTCATGCGGAACTGTAGTCCCCATGCTGTGAGTTGCCGATTAGTTCTGCTGATAGTTTTAAAAGAGTTCTGCATGCTTTCAAGCTTTAATCTATGATGCTAAAAATGTATTTGAGGTACTTTTTGATGAATTGTCGCAGAAATGATCAAAATTTCAGGACAAATCTCATTATCTCAGTTATTTCTGCGTGGCGAAATGTACCGCACCCAAAACTGTTCTGAAATGAAATGAGACAAGCTGATTGCGATCCCTTTAAAATACCTCCCCCCCATATGGTGTTTAGTAACGGTATCTAGAATGGTTTCTTGTATCTAGTATCTAGTAATCTCCCTCTTTAATGAAATGATTTAACAGTTAAGTTAATGTAAATTTTAGACCTACTAACGAATCTTTCAAAATGACTTATTTGACCAAATAGCAGGATTAGTGTTTGCTCGTTATTTATTTATCTATAATGCTTAACGTGTTAGGGCAAGAATGTTGATGCGCTGAAACCAAACGGGTGCAAGTAATCATTCCAAGCTGCGTTTGGGCGAGCTAAAAGGTCCTACTGGTTTCGGAGTTGTCACCTGGTACTAGGTATTGCTTTGGGTGCGGAAAAATCAAAGAACAGTTTTTTAAATTCAGAACACTATCAAACACTTGTACAAATGTTTTAGCAAGGTTGATGGACAGTCGGAACATTCAGAGCTTTGCGCTTATATATGTATTCTTGTTTGACCTATACTCTCCAAAGTGAGAGTTCAAAAGGACTAATATCAGCTGTGAATTCCAACTGTTTCTTACCATATTTTTAACGAGCGGTCTTGTGTGACTTATTTTCAAATTGAGATTTCAACAGGACTGTTAACATGAGCTGTAAATCCTGAATATTCCTCCTATTGCTAACGTATTTGAGGTACTTTTGGATGAATTGTCGCAAAAATGATCAAAATGTCAGGATAAAGCTCATTAAAAAGTCTTCTAAAAGCTTGTTGAAAAAGTTATTAGGGTTTAAAAAGGTTAATTTTAAGGGTTCATTTATGTGTTCAGAGTAATCGGTGGTCTGTTCGGCCGGATAGTGGGTCGGGGTCTGGTGGACATCATAGGCATAGACCATATCCTGGGCAACAGGTACTGGATGTGGATAGATCCAGGGGCATTCGCTCTAATCGGGGCAGCCTCCTTCTTCGGCGGAGTGGCCCGACTCACCATGTCTCTCACCGTTATCATGGTAAGATCCAGGGACAGTCAAGTGAACAATGTCCTCACTGCACATTTTAACGACATCTTTTGTAGCGCTAGGCAAAAAAGACTACAGCATTTTAGTACAACAGCTCAATAGGAAAACTGAAAAAATCAACATATTGCTGTGACTTTTGTCTGATTGAGTAAATCTTTCTCAATTAGTAAGCAACTTGAGCTTAAATTCGAAATTAAGAGGATGATTCTCTAGCTTATGGTTTTCAGCCAAAATTGTTGTCTTTCAGTTTTGGCTGAAAAGAATTAGTTGTCGGATTAAAATTTGTCTTTTTAAAAATACATCATGTAATCAAGCAGAGGAACTTCCACATGAACTTGTTTTGTCAGCTGGAGATAACGAATGACGTCATGTTTCTGCTACCAATCATGGTGTCAATCATGGTGGCCAAGTGGGTGGGCGACTACTTCACCCATCCCCTGTACCACGCCCTCTTAGAGCTCAGATGTATTCCATTCCTCAACGCAGAACCAACAGTCTACAACAACAAGGGAATGTGAGTTCAGTCAGTTTAAAAATTAGTATAAAAAGGGGAAGGGTTTTCAGAAACAGTTATTCTAGCTGAATAAAAGTAAAATACTCGTGTAGTTTACTTGCAGAATTATTAGGCGGTTTGAGGGCACAGCTTCTGTCAAAAAAATTATTTGTTTTAACTCGAAAACTAGGTTTTTAGCCAACTCATTAAGTGTTAAACTTTGATGCTTTTCAAAAAAAAATTCTAAGCTTCAATCGGTTTGCACAAATTGAGAAAATATAAAAGCAAATCATTAAGCAAAAAAAAAACTTTGACCTATTTCAATTTGTTTTAATAGCTTACATCAGTTCCTTAAAATTGAAGTTTTTTACAGCGAGCTCATCAAGCGATAGGTTTTGATGTTTTTCAAGCAATTAGAGCTTCAATCGATTCTCAAAGAGTTATACTTTTAGCAACCATATGGCCGCTAAAACATGGCAGTATTTTTTCTGTCATTCTGTACACTTGCAAAGCAAAGTGCAAGTACGAAATTTCTTTTTTTCCGACCTGAGTCGCAAAATAAAATTGCTACTTTTGAATCGGTAGGCTGCATCGAATTGGCAGTTATTAACATATGTTGCTGTGTTGTTGGTGGCTAGTTGTTTGGGAGCTCAAGCATCCGTGGCTGAGTGGTTAAAGGATGATACTCAAATTTGCTTGGTCGCAGATTGGAATCCGACACATAGCCGAGTTTTTGCTAATTCAAGGCTTATTTCGACTTTTTCTTATTTCACTTGATAGAGCTGCTTTTTGACCGTGTTCTCGAAATTGTTTGTGAAGAGCAGCTTCGCCTCTATGTTTATTACACAAGCTTTTTCATCGAGTGGCCTTTAAATGTTTAAATACATGTTTTTATTCTTGTACTTCGGCACTCACCTCTAAGATGTTTGATCCCACTATTGAAAATGGGGAAGTTTTTGTCTTCAGGTAGATTTTAATTTTTCGCGCGCAAAGTCAGGGTCCACAAATAATCATTGGAATGGGTTGAGTGATATATCATAAAAAAGCTTTTCGTTCTTGATTCGAATCACATTAAAAACGTATCGGTTTGCTTTTTGGTGTAATTTCGAGCAATTAGGCAAGTCAGTGGGTTTTTTACATGAAATAGGTTATTGAGAAACGGAAATTGAAAATTTTCTGAAAAAAAAAACGAAAAATTATTGTGCAACAGGTTTTCAGATTTTTTTTGGTTGATCATTTTTTGAATACAAATGTTTTCTCAACTTCGCCTAATTTGATAACCTTGTACACTTTTTGTATAGTTTTCTCGTCACATCACACACTAAAAATTACCTTAAGCTTTTTCATGAATTCGGTCGGAACATTCTGTGCTACTTGCACGGCAACCTGAAATTTTATCCATTTTATAAAAATGTGAGACAAGTTTCAGGAAGCATTTGCATAAGACCTATGTATGAGCAGTGATTTTGCTTGCTTAAATAGAAGCTCAATTTAAAAAAGCTTAGTTTTTTTGCTGTACAAGCAGCACAGAATGTTCCGACCACGGTCCTTTAACCAAATTTCTGTAAATTTATGTAGGAGAAAAATTCAAGTGGGTATATTAATCTGCAACAAAAAGAGAATTATATTTGAACCAACGGTAAAAAAAAATAGAAAAAAATTTAGGTAAGACATTGACTCTATTGCTCAATCCTGGGGGAGTTCTTTTTGCACCAATCACAATTGGTTCACCACAGTACCGATGAGACGTTTCTTTGACATATATTTGATCTGGCTCGAAAAAAATTGCCGAATGTTCTTCTTCATTTCGCAGGTGGTCAGAACAAAAAGATTCTACTATACGGTCAAGCAATTTGACCCGATTTTAATTCAAGAGACGTTTGACCGAAACTGTCTTGTGATCTATTGTGCTTTGTTTTTTTTTGGGCCACTCATTGATAAAAGGTTACCTATATTTTCGCAATTACCAAAAGTTGATCGTCTTGAAGATGAAAATTGGCTCCAAAATCTTTGTAATAACTCTTACTTTAACTTTCCTCTAACCGTTTGTTAAAACAAAGAAACGGCCTTGTACTTTTCCCAAAGAATAGTTGAAAGACCAGTCTAATTTGAGCTTCAGTCTAAAAATAGGATAACTGGTCTGAAAATGTCTTTTGTGCCCTGTCGCTGAGAGTTAAGGAAAAAACCAAAATTAATCCCATCCTCAAATTGTCTTCCCACGTTCCCTAAAATAGAATTAGGCATGCCCTAAGAGGAAATTTTAAGACAGTCGACTTCTAGTCGTCTTAAAGTTTGCCCTAAATTTCATCGATTCAATTTCGCGAAGCGAATTCAATAAGAATTGATCGATATAAGTTTTGAATGACGTACATGTTGCGGAAAGCTTTCATTTTAAACCCTCTTGTTTCGCGGTATTGATTGGTATTAATACAGCTGTAAATTTAGTTCTTCCTATGCAGTTTAGTTGTTTCCTGAAGGTAGTCCAAAACCTAGATTGAATGAGATAAAACTGCCTGAGAAAATAAAAAGACTCATTTTATATTTGCAAACTCAGTTCAACTTATAGGTAGGCGTCTGTGTTGTGAAATCCGATAAATTGGAATCAGTTCAACTTATAGGTAGGCGTCTGTGTTGTGAAATCCGATAAATTGGAATCATTCCGGGAAATAAACGTCAAAATATGACAACCGCGCTTTGAATTAATTTGCTCAGACTTCAGCTGAAAACGTAAATTTTCTGAAGCAGACGCATAATTTATAAAGTGGCAGTATATTTGATATTCTAAGTCCGTTATTATGCTGGAATCTGACTTAGATTTCAAATTGATTTTGAGTTCTTGTGAAGCAAATTTGTAAATAAATGATAATTATTTCTTCAAATAATTGTAAAGCCAGCCAAAAATTGATATTCAGGTGCGAACTCATCTGTGTTTAGGTGCAAAAGTTTCTATGAATTGTCATATATAGTATCTAATCATATATTACGTGTTGGCGCCATTGGTTAGCTATGTGTCTGGTGCGGCTACTAATTAATTAATACCTGCCAACCTTAAGTTTAGTCTGCGATGTTTGGATTCATTGTTGTTAACCGTTAAAGAATAAACGAGTCAATCTTAGTTCAGTGAATTAAAGATATTGAACCTGCATTTTTCACATGGCGCAGCAAGCAGGACAAAGCGCGGGATCAGGGAAAAATCCACTGGGAATTACGGCATTTTGGCCGAGTAAATGTACGGAAGCACCAATGTTGTGGGAGCATTGGATTACACGATTCACCTGGGGTGTAATAGCAAAACATTCATTCAATCCGACGGCATTTTATTTTGCTAATACGCTCACTGAGGCGCAAATTACCGGTCTGCCAGAGGAGGTGAATGGGAAAAATCGAGTGGAAGCAGAGCAGACACTAATTTCTAACCTCTATTTGTGTTTGGGGGAACGTGGACAGGACGAATTACATAACCGGAAGCCCCATCTGGACCTGGCGACTACCCGATATCCACGGGTTTTGGATGAATTTGAGAGTGTTTTCCGCAAGGAAAGAAACGAAACATTCGAGACGTATCAGCTACTATCTCGGAAACAACGTGACGGGGAAACGCTAGAAGAATTTCACTCCGTTTTGAGTGGACTAGCCGCTAGATGCTCATTGGGAACATTGGAATGACGGGTGTTACGTGATGTATTCATAGTAAATATGTCCAACAAGGAAGCCCAAACGGAGCTATGCCGTTCAACTAAGACACCAGATGAGGTCTACCGGATTGCTTTGTCATATGAACGGGGGGACAAATACGCAAAGTCGTATAAAGTATCCGGTGGGGGACTTACTGCGGCACCAGCGGGTTCACTACAAATTAAAGCGGGGCCTATAAGCGCAATTAGAGGAGGGTACCGTCGTCCATTCCAAAGAGGCGGACGTGGATTTGGCAGGGGCGGCACAAGGGGCCGCGGAGGAGCAGCAGATCGCAAGTGCTACAATTGCGACCAGAGTGGTTTTACCCCGGACCACATTCCAAAGTGCCCAGCAAGAAATGTAACCTGCAATTTTTGCAAGAAAATGGGACACTATGAGCGAACTTGTAGAGGACGTCGATCGGCGAATAGGGGTCGCGTAGGCATGATAAATGAGGATGACACCAATGGCGGGACTACCCAAGATTATCCGGAGGAGAGTGCATCCAATTACGGAAGTTCTGTCGGATGGGTGACTGATTCAAAGACACCGGCACATGGATGGGATTCGGATAGTTCGACGGAGTATGTGGTTATGTCAATTCGGCGGAAGGAGGAAACGGAATTAAAAGTCGCGGGGGCCAAACTAGCCTTAAGAATCAACGGCAAAGCAACTCAAGCCTGGATTGACAGTGGTTCGCCAATATCCATCTTCACTATTGGGGAACTAAAACGTACCCTGGGGACAGTCAACGTACAATTGAAACCGCTGAATCTACAAGACGACCAATTCCGCGATTACGGAAACAATCCGTTAAAATTTCTGGGAAAGATGCAAGTCACGCTTCATTCCAATGGATGGACTTGTTCGTCGGATATCAACGTCATCGGAGGGTGCCGACCGTCTATTATTGGCAGGGATTTAATGCCCTCACTAGGACTGATGCTGGTACAAGCACCATCGACAGAAGGGGTGAAAAGCATACATACCACGGAAGGAACTGTGGCGATGGACAATGACCTGGATGAGTGGCAGACACATTTCTGTAAGCAATTTCAACATCTTTTTCACAGGGTAGGGCGCATTCGAAATTATAAGGTGCAGGCAGATTTCTTCAAAAACCTAACTCCAATTCAACAAAAAGGTAGGCGAGTACCTATAACATTACAGGAAAAAGTCGATAAGGAGATTGAAAAACTGTTGGGACAGGGTCATATCCAAAAGTTGGAAGAATGTTCAGACAAATATTTTGTTTCACCTATTGTCATCACCGTGAAAAAGGACGGTTCTGTAAAACTTGCACTGGAATCTAGAGAACTAAACAAACAAGTGCATAAGAATAAATACCAAATGCCCAATATTGAAGAACTAATGGACATCGTAGGGCAAACTATCAGCGAACGCAAACAGGGGGATGTTTTTTTTACAATGATGGACCTCACGTACGCATACGGTCAACTTCCTTTAAATGAAAACACTAGTAAACATTGCAATTTTTCATTGGTGGGAGGCCGTTCTACTGGTACATATCGATTCAAAACAGGATTCTACGGATTGACAACCATGCCGGCGGAATTTCAACGGGTCATGGATGCCATTCTGGCTGAATTTCCGTGCGCGCATGCTTTCATTGATGATATATTAGTAATTTCGAAAGGTACCAAGATCGAACATATCGCTTTAGTGGAGAAGATTTTAACGAAACTCGATAAAGAAAATATGGCTTTGAAGCTAGAAAAATGTCAATTTGCGAAAAATACTTGCGAGTGGTTAGGCCACCGGATTACGAAATCAGGGATTACACCAATGGTGCGGAAAACAGATCCAATTGACAAATTAACCGCCCCGAAAACGCTCTCTCAGTTGAAATCGTTCATGGGGTCAATCCATAGTCTTCACAAATACTTCCCGGCGTTAGCGGAAACTTCGGCGCCTCTACGTCCACTTCTAAGTAAGAAGAACGAATTCCTCTGGACAATTGACTGCCAAACAGCGTTCGAATCGATTAAGAAACAAGTCGCGAACATTGTCGAACTTAAGCATTTCGCCGTACATAAGGATATACGTATCGTGTGCGACGCAAGCCATAACGGTTTGGGGGCGGTACTCGAACAACTAGGCACCGAGGGTTGGCGACCAATATCATTTGCGTCCCGGTTTTTAAATGCGGCCGAAAAGAAATATTCGACGAATGAGCTAGAAATGCTGGCCGTAGTTTGGGGCTCCGAATACTTCAGAAATTATATTTTCGGGCGGAAATTTACTGTGGTGACAGATCATAAGGCTTTGCTATCTTTATTGAATGGGAACAATAAGAAAAACAAGACTATGTTCAGTCGATTAACTCGCTGGATTGATAGAATTATCCCCTTTGATTTTGTCATTGAACACATGCCTGGGGCTAAAATTGGCCTGGCGGATTACCTTTCAAGGCATCCGGTGGGGGAAGCCACGAAAGTTAGTCTTTATGATAACACTTTCACAGTGGCAAAATTGAAATCAATTACCAATTCACTCGGATATATTGATACCAATAAAGGGATCATCAAAGCATCAAAGGAATCAATTGTTTCAGCTAAAGATATTCAAGTTGGAAACGATAAAGTTAACATTCCACCGGAAGAGGGCGTCAAAACGCGTGACCGTCGGTTGACCAATCAGAAGCCACTAAAACGAATAGCTGAGTGTAATGACCGGGAAAGCGCAAAAGTAGTAAAGTCAATCACCGAATGTAAACTTTGTGAGTCTGATATTAATTCCACAGTAAACAGTAGTCCTCCATTTAACAAAACAAGTTATCGATCTAACAAAATACACATATCTACAATGACATCACTTAATTTGAAGAAATTAATTAAATTACTGTTGAAACATCCAGAAATAACGAGCGGCAGTAGCAGCGAGGTGGAGATTGTGGATGCACGATTGGAGGCGGAGACGCATCACACCAGGGACATTCGATGCAACACAGTCATCTCCATTCCTTCGGCATTCGGAGGTGAACTTTTTCCGGCGGCATACCCAGCAGGAGGGAACGTCATCATGTCAGTAATCCCCCGGGACTGCAAGATAGTCCGCAAAAGCAGTGCACTGCCGGAGCTATTCAACCTGAAGCTCGTGGAAGCGAACTATAAAGGGGACCCCCAGATGCGCGCAATAAAAGAACTGGTGGAGAGTAAGGACCCGGATTTGGAAAAGAAGGTCAGAGCAATGGGTGCCTACCTCGGACAGCACACACATGATTTCCACGTGCGGGAAAATTGTCTGTGGATGGACGAACGACTCGTCATCCCCATACCACTCAGGAAGGCTGTGGTTAATCGGATACATGCGTTTCACCATGGGCGCTCGAGTATGTTCGACGCTGCGAGGGATGTCTGGTTTCCCTATCTCCACCGGAGTTTAGTCGCAGCTGCGGATGGATGCAAGGAATGCACCGATGCAGGTAAAAGCCTTAAACCATTATGCGCCAAAGGTGATGTTGGGAAGATCTATGAACCACGCGAGCCGAACGAATGCCTACAGCTTGATTTTTGGGGTCCAATTAGATACTTAAATGAATCAAGTAAATATGTCTTGGTAGCGGTTGACCGATTCTCACGTTGGCCCTCTGCAATGATCTGCGGAAATAATAAAAGCGACAAGGTCCTTAAGTTCATTAAACAATACATATCTCAACATGGTGTCCCTAGGAAAATTTTTATGGATCAAGGTACAAGTTTCACATCGAATGCAGTTAAATCATTTTGCAATTCCGAAGGAATTGAAATAATTTATTCACCCGTGAATGATCATCGCGCCACCGGGTGTGTCGAACGTACCATTGGCAGTCTGAAAAACTTTGTCTTAACTTACGCTAAAGAAAAAGATAGTGGAAACTTAGAATCAATGTTAGAACGAGCCTTGAGTGCTCTAAGATTTGCCCCAAATGCTACTCTCAAAATATCGCCGTTTGAAGCTCATCACGGCAGAGAAGCCAATACGGTACTGCGAAATCTTACGAAAAAGCCAACCCTGCAAAACCTAAACTGGGCCAGAGTGTTGAAACAAAAATCTGCCTATTTAGATTCTACTGACCCCAGAGCTCCGAGGAACATCCAACCCATGGCAACGGATTGGGAAGAACGATCCGACGTGGAGTTTGATGTCGATCATATGAATCACCCTAGGCGACTGACACAAAATCAACTAGTTTCGGCGGCGGATGGAACACCAATGGCTGACGGGGACGGGAAACAGGCTTGTGGGGGAAAGTCTAAACAGCCAAGTAAACGGACCGAACTGTTGTTCCAACGACTCAAGGATAGCAATAAAAGGTATAGACCCATAAACCAAAAAGTAATTCGCGAATCTAAGCACACTATAACTCTAGCAAATGGCTCTGTACTTAGGAAAAGTGGGGTTGCCGAGAAAGTCATCAAATCGAACGCGCCAACTACCGCGAGTAAGCTAACACTACCACTCCCAGCTATGAGTGCATTGCAACGTCGGGCGGAACTAAAGCGAGCAGCGAACGAACAGGCGGCGGGGACGAGCACACAGAGTAAAGCAAGCGCACAGAGTAAGGCTGATAACAGAGTGCGAGAATTTTCACCAGCGGAGGAGGACGATTCGGATTCGGAGTACGAGCCAATAACAATTTCCAAACACGCAGGGAACTCAACAATAGCACCAGGGCGAGATGTGGAAGGAAATGAACCAAAAATGAATAACGATGTAGAAGACGGAATTGGAAGACCAAACTTATCCGAAGGAAGCGGAGCTGGAAAATCCCAGGGGGTGGACACGGAGGTCCAGACTATGAGCAACGAGCAAGGGGGGAGTGCCCCAAATTTGAGTAACGAAGGACGAGGGGGGAAACATTCTAAAAAGAAAGGGGAACGAGTACGACGCTTACGTCTCGTATCATACTCTAGTCAAGAATCAGAAGATGGAACAGGATCACGGAAAAGTACCAGGAAGCGGACGGCGGTATCTAAATTCGGCGGGGTTATGATAGATAGTATATTGAAAGCGAGAACATCCAAAGGAGAGGAAGACAGAGAGCGGGACACTAATTGAGCAGGAAGGCACATTTGAAAGAGGGAGTGAAAAAGGAAACTCAAGAAACTTGTTAAACTAAAACTCATGCCCAGGGAGAGGGTGGACTACCGCTGGTCTAAAACTCAAACATTTCCGTTGGATAATTTTAAAACAGTTGTTTGAAAATTGATTGTTGAGGGAATGTCATATATAGTATCTAATCATATATTACGTGTTGGCGCCATTGGTTAGCTATGTGTCTGGTGCGGCTACTAATTAATTAATACCTGCCAACCTTAAGTTTAGTCTGCGATGTTTGGATTCATTGTTGTTAACCGTTAAAGAATAAACGAGTCAATCTTAGTTCAGTGAATTAAAGATATTGAACCTGCATTTTTCACAGAATTTTCTACGGTTAAATTTATTTTTTTCCTTCTATCATGTTCACTAATTTGTTCACGGCGTCTTTCTGCATTTTAGCGTGAACCTGGAACTGTTCACGGCGAGTGACGTCATGAGTGCTCCTGTGTACGTGGTGCGGGTGTTCGAGTCTGTCGGCTACCTTTCCCGTCTGCTCATGACAACAGGCCACGGGGGATTCCCTGTGGTAGGCATGGACGGGAGGACCTTCCGAGGAACCATCACAAAGTCAGTCACAACTCATAACTGCGCATAATTTGATTCATTTTAAATCTAAACCTGCGATCATGGGAAAAATGCTCTCAGGGAAAAACTGCCGAGTTATTGTTTCCGCATAATAGAATCCCTGTAATCTTAAAATGAAAGTTAATGAATAGCATGAAATAAATGCACCAAAGTGTGATCCATAGTGTGACTTTGAGAAAAGTTAACGCGGATGCAATTCCATCGTTTTTTTTTCAGGAATGAAATCATGGTTCTCATCCGGACTCCGGATCTCTACGAAGACAGAAAAAAAGTATCCTATGCGACCTTGTCACGCAATCCAAACGTCAGCTACAATAAGGTAGTCACCTCAAATCAGCTCTTCTCGGTTTTAACTCGAACAAGTTAACTGCTAACTGTTTCTTTTTGTTTTAGTTGAAAAGAAATAGAAGCGAGAAGGCTTCAACCATCACCCAGTTGTACAGAACGTCTTCTTGCTCAAATAAATACATCAATTTGGTAATTATTCTCTTTTTTTTGTTAAAAAGTGTACAAGCTAGTCATCGCTTGGAAACACGTTATCGTTAGTTCCATTTAAGTTTTAAAATTTAATGAAATCATGAAAGCATCAGACTACTGGAATGTCTAAAAATTTTAGAGTGAGTTTTAAATACTGTCTCAAATTACATTAACTTTTCATTCGAATTGAATTTTTGGTTGAAATATGAATATGGCATTTTTTCAGCTACCTTACATAAATCAATCAGCACCTTGTGTCCAAGAGAGCTTCTCCTTACATCGGGCCTACATAATAGTGAGGAGTCTGGGATTGCGACACCTGGTGGTCGTGGACCACAACAACCATGTCAAGGGCATCATCACCCGCAAAGACCTCATGGGGTTCAGTCTAGAGGAACGCCTGTTCGAGAAATACCACCCTGCGACCACCACCGCTACCACCGCAGCAACACCCGAAAACGCCGCAGCAGCCGGACACCGAACAAACTCTAAGACAGATCCTCCTCCAGGAGGCGGCGGCGGCGGAGGAGGAACTGCGAGTGTCACCGGAACAACGACAACAACGGGTAAAAACACAAAAGATCCAGAGTCAGCGCGAGGTCTGAAGGAACAGTCGAAACCGCTGGCTTCTAAGGGTGTTATAACAGTTCGAACATCAACAGATATTGAAGAAGAACCAAGATTGTCAACTATTTCCTCACAGCCAAGTTCACTAAATTCGCCTCTAGGAACACCCGATATGGTAATAGACGGAGGAGGCAACAAGGTCCAGGAACATATTGCTATGGAAACACTCAAACCCAAACCCACCGCCACAACAGCTAAGACTAACCAATCACTGCCCACTAAAGCCAATAAAACCAAAGAGCAGCGGTCTAAGAAACCTGACCTTTTAATGTGTAATGGGATGAACGGATCCAACCCTCGGCCGAGTGTGAATTCGAAGCAAGTCGAAGAACATGTTGACGGGAAGGAAGATCAGCCGACGGTACACAAAGCCGATTCGGCCAGTAAGAGCATCCACATAGAAAACACGACGTGTGAATCTGCCGTTTTGTAACTTTGTTACTGCACAATGCAAATAGTCAAATGCCCAATCCTAATGCCCAAATCTAGCAATTAAATTCAAGCTAAGTCACGAAGAAAGTTCAAAAAGTTCTGAATTATGAGTCTGGAGTACTCGAGTTTTTAAAAGTAGTTTTGAGCTCTTCGTCTTAAGGTCACAATTTTTTCTACCTTAGGTGGAAATTATTTTACTTTGTTCGAACTTCAGTTGTTTTGTTATGTTTCATATAGTTGATATTATTTTTTATAGAACAATATTTTAATTTAATTAATCATATTAACAAAGGTTTTTTTTCCAAGAACAAAGTTCAATAATTTCTTCGCATTCAAACTTAACTAAGCGCCATATTAGTGAGCATTTAGGTACGCCTACTTCACTGGCACTTCATTATTTCAGCCTTTTTTTAGCTATGGATATTTTTTATCGAAAAATACATTTTTAGAATTTAGCTCTCGGATTCCGGGTAAGATTTAAAGGATGTGAGCTGGGGATGGAGCCCCTAATCAGGAGCTAAACACTACCAACGACAGAGCCTCGTCCTTCATATTTTTTTACGATCACCTCTTCGTGAACCATATGAGATATCCTTTTAAATGATTTGTCACTATATCGTTTCAAACTGTTTGTAGTAACTGATATTGCGTAGAAAAAAGCAAGGATAACCGGTTGCTGTGCAATAAGCGAAACACAATTTGAAGAAAAAGAAGTTCGAACCACAATTTGAAAAAAAAATAAAATGATCTTTTTTTCAAATTATGTCGCTTTGTTATTCGTAGTGTAATTCGCGTAATTTATTTGTGGGGATCTTATTTTTTTGTCTATTTGAAATGGTTTCAGCTCAGGTACTTTCTGCTGTGTAGTATTTGGAGTTTTCTTTGCTTCCTGCAAATATCTTGCTTCCTTTTGCTTTCTTGAATTTGAATTGCTAATTGAAAATTTTTTAGAATCGGAATTGCCAATGGAAGTTTCTGTTAGTTTCGTTATTAAGACTTGATTCCTTAGGCTTTGCCTTTTCTCGCCATTACATTCAAAACTTCAGAGATCGATTATTTCATCTGATATTTTTTGAGTCGACTAAACATAATTTTGAAGCAATCTGGAAACGCTATAAAGCAGGGGCCGACTTTGGGGGCGAAACGCTTTTTTTGACCTGTTTTTCAAAATTTGCTTGCGACGCAGAAAAGTTTGGCCAAAACAGGGTTTTTTAGTGGTTTGGGAGAGTTCGGAATATCAATTTGGTTGGCCAAAAAAAAGGTCGTCAAAATTTTCGAAAATTTTTTGAAACTCCGCCCCCCCCCCCCTCGAGAAAATCCTAGATCCGTCCCCTATTGAACGGGATTTATTATAACATAATACTCGATTCTGCCTCACGTTTATTCATGATAACTTTTTTGCGCTGAAAGTAAAAAATTGAACCAACACACACCCGAAGGCAAATTTTTTCTTCATTTTAAGTAATCACATGTCAAGAAAATTGTGTTAATTTGTTCTGATACTAAAAGTAATAGTCACAATAAGCGCCAATTTAGGCGCCAAAAATATCGGCAGCTGTAAACTGAAATTATACTTTGAAGCTAATTTAGTTAGTTCAGTCTAGGAAAAAAAATGAATATTGAGAGAACTGCTAAAAACGATGACAGTCTCTCTGAATGATATTAGAACTTTCAGGAATAAATGATCAAGCTTATCTATGGGTAATAAGACAACTGCGATTGAAAAAAATTCGCAAAAAAAGGTTAATTTATATACTGTCCATCTGGGGGCGTAAAAAGGAACTGCAATAATCTTGTCAAATTATTTTCACGCAGAAGGTATACAAAATTCTTTTATAGCAGCGTTCTATATGACATTTTGCTACAGAAGTAAATTTACTGCTGCCTTGCAGATGACTATTCGATCTACTCGTCCGTTGTCAGGTGTCTCTCAATGGCGCGTTTTCCAAATGCTTGTGCTGGTAAACAAGATGGTTATGGAGCATTCAAGTAAAGTTTCTCAATTGTGATATTGAGTCCAAAAAAACTTTTCAGACTAAATTCCTGATAAATTATTATGGGGGCGTTCATCAGCGCCGAAGTACAACAGAGCAGTCTTGAAACTGAAAATGTGTTCAACCATGCCAAAAATTGATGATATTTTAGTGTTGAGTTCTGTTTGTGAATTGTTGGCAATTTTGCATGAATACTGTTTCGTTTTGGGAGCGAAACCGAGAAGAAAAACTGACAATTTGCTAAGTTTAATTGTTTGTTCAAAAAATTTAATGGCGCCGTGCGGGGAAACTGGTGGAACTTTGTTTGTTTAACAAGCGACAGCAATTAAAATGGCTAATTGTTTCTTTCAACTTCCAACGATTCGAATTAACTTACTTGTCAGTGATTTGGGATGAGTAAAACAGTATGCTAAACAATTTTCGGCATTGTTGTACTTCAGCACTGTCACACTGCTATATTATTATCATAGATTTCACAGTTTCAAGGTTGCCAAAATTTTTTTATCAAACAAGTTTTCTTTTCCCCCCTTTTTCATCGATTGTTTTCTAACTCAATATGTGTCCATAGGTTATGTGCTTCTTTAATAGCAACAGTCTATTCTACCCGTACCGAGAAAATTCTTTATTTCTGACCTGGAATACTTTATGTCTACTCTAATTTGCTGGTCAGAAATTCTTTGTGAAATGTTTAAATAAAGCAGGGATTTTCATAAAATGTTTTGTTTCTTATCTTATTTCTGATCAGAAATTATCTAAATCTAGATCATTTCTAGGTAGAAAAATTCTGCTGCTGGGGATTGAACCTGCGTTTTCATGGGCGGTTGTTCTAACCGCTGGGCCACATGACCTGCTAATGTAGGAAAATTTTAGCAGCCTAATCCAAAGCAACACTTGTTATATCAAGTGTTAATTTGCATTGTTCTGCTACGGCTATTGTGTATACTCGAAGCTTGTTTATCTTTTTGCGGTTGAGCAGTGAACTGATTTCTGGCTATTTCTTTCCAGAAACTGTTTATTTCTAAACTAAGAAAGAAAAAGATCATTTCTGTACAGAAAATACAAAAAAAAATTGGCTAGGCAATCTATATAACATTTCTATCAAGAAAAACAGCCTTCGCTGGGTACTGTTAGCTTTGCGTGTACAGTGGAATTATGGGTACACGAGTCAAAATGTGAATCCGAAGTCAGTCAAGTCAATTCAAGCTTCTGTCCATTTCTGCCTAAATTTATTATTCTTTCAATTACTTTTTAAAAATTGCTTCTATCTCAGGAATGGAGCAGTGATTAAATCAAGGGTAATAAAATCTGCAATCCTGGATGAAGCCTGAACGCAAGTTAAAATCAGTTGAACTTAAAATAAGGCGGCTTTGAAAGGTATCTGTTTCAATTAAAAAAATGGACTTTTGAAAATATAAGACAGAAATTAAAGATCTACAATGTCATATCTTTGAAATAATGAAATTACTATGTAACATTTTAAGGAAATAGTGCATATTTACCACCCTTCACAAAGCTGTAAACGAAAAAAATCACCTCCATGTAAAACTCCTCCTTGATTTCGAAACATGTATTCAGGACTGTTCTCGAAATCAAATGCAAATCTTCAATCATTTATTTTTGGACAAATTTTCGAAGAAAATAATTAAATGATGACACTAAATTTTGAGTTGAAAATAAAAAATTAAAAAGGTTGCTAAAATTTGTAGGTGAAGTGCTTCCTGATTTAAAAAAAGGATGCTAAAATTTGTAGGCGAAGTGCTTTCTGACATCGAAAGTGGAAAGTGTTCACTTGTTTGGGGGCATTTTTGCTATAATCACGGTCTAGCATTGGAAGTTTCATAGCATCTGCTCTCTGCTTTATTTGGCTACTGTTTTTGATGTATTAAGCGTGCATCGAAACCGAGCCCTACGCGAATTTTTACTGATTCAAGGCTTATTTCAATTTTTTATTGTTCATAGAGCTGCTTTTTGTCGTATTCTTACTTGTTTTGCAAAGCGGAGCTTCATCTCCTTGTAAATGTTTTTTTTTTGCGTTTAAATTGCTTTTTTTAATGATTAACTATCTTAAGATGCTCCTAAAAATGGAGCATGAAGTTCCAAGGCGCTCCCGCAATGAGGTTTCTTTTGGCTCAAACGATCTGAAATTTAAAAAGAATGTAATCTAAGATGCAAACAATTTATTTTTATGATAGTTTTATTCAACAATTTGAAAGATTTTATAAAATAGTATTTTTCGTTTTCTTGCAATTTAAAGCAATTTTGATGTTTTTTTTGTATCTTAAATTCCAGGTTAGCTTCCGTCTACTTAATACTTTCAGACTCAGCCGTCAATTTTAAAATTACTTTGTAAAGTAAGATTTAAGAAATTCAGTTCCCACCTGACTTTGGTTGTCTCCTCATTTTAATAAAAGTAGCCCACGAAGACAAAATGACTTTCAACAAAATGTTTAATTGACCTTTAGAGAGCAAAAAAAATCACATTTTTATCTGGCTATAACAAAAAGAAAAAGCTTCAGACTTCTAAGCACCCAATTTTCTTGTTTCAAAAAAAAATTAAGATCAATCATTTTTTTATAAAATTATTTTAGTCAGTGGCTACACAACTAAGTTTAAAAAATAAAACTACATCAGTCATTTTCATATCGAAGTGCACAGTTAAAGAGTTAGATGTTTTTTTTCTCGTAAACGAATGAATGAAAGAAAATTATTTTCAAATTAGTTTGAATACTATAATCTTCATTGATTAGAATCGTGGACATCAAGTTCATGAGTTCGTTATCAATTTAAAAAAAAATGTTGCATGTTTTTCCTCTTACAAATAGTCGCCCACTTCATTGAGCCTTACAAATATCAAAAAGAATAACTCAAAAACTGTATCAAATTATTCATCATTAATTAAAACTACCGGACGGTCAATATTTGTACGAAAAACACTGTCTTTTGTCTCTTATATAGGTGTTTGTAAAGTTGATTATGTTTTCGATATATTTTAAGATTTGTAATCATCATGATGAGATCGAACCTCAGCAAAACGTTGCAAGTTTCTAATTTTTTCCCGAGAGTTTTGTCGAGCTCTGAACAGTCTCTAGACCAGTATAAGTTTTTATGCAAACTCAACCAACGTAATTATGAAACAACAATTTGCTGTCAGGATAAAAGTTTTTGATAAATTAGATAAGTCAGGACTTGTCCTGCAAAACAATTTTTGTCTTGTTTTTTGAGGATAAGGTAAGTAAGCTTTGAGACTCGTACGCAAGTT